ATTGCAAACCAGCAATAAAGGTATTGGCACTTGTGCAGGATGTACCATAAATCATGCAGAAGATAAACATTGCATTAGAGTGGTTCAGACTCCATATATCCATTAGTGTGGGGTCCGTTATCTTCCATGGGGGCAAGAGGTACAGGTAGTCTAGGATTTAAATGAGTCATTTTCTTGAAATGCTTGTTCAGCAAAAGTGTTGGGGTTTCCTGTCTGTTTTTGTTTATTTTTTTTTCAAAAAATGTTTCGACCGTCAGAACAATCTTAGCAAGACCAAAAACTCTTAGCTATCATTCATTTAGCAAAATTCTTTCTGGTACTATGATGTGTGTTTTCTGTCAACTGAAATTTACAGGAATCATTAACCACAAGGATTTCCTGAGAAGCTCCCACATGCTGTGTCTAAGGTTCTTCCTATTTGTTTTGGCAGCAGTAACATTGTCTAATACTACTAAATTATACTTTGAGTTCAGTGCTGATAATTTCTCTCAAGAAAACAACTTAACTGAAACATTTGTGGTTCTATTTTGCTTGAACCGAGGGAAAATTATAATACAGAAAATTACCTATCACCACCTGTTCCGCCTTACCCTCCACCAAAAAAAGTCCCTTTTTTAAGCTGCCATCAACCTATAATAATGCTCACTATATTAAACATAGAAATTTCTGCATTAGTTTATATACCTAGTAGCAGAAAACTTTCAAATATAGTGATTAGGCTGTTGCAATAGGGAACCTCACCTTGCTCTAAAATAAAAATTAAAAAATTTTATTTCATATTGGGTGATCAGTTTTTAATACTAAAACATTACCTACCTTTTTTCACTCGTATTCTTCTGTGCATGTACAGAGTGTGAAAATATGAAAAGCTCATTAATATGGTTTCATATTCCATCAAAAGGTTCATAAAATGAACCTTTTCAAAACTTAAAACTATTGTTGTTTTGTTATGGCTATTCCTTGATAATACAATTATCAGAAAGACTATTAAAATACTAACTTTCAAACTATCTGTTCAAAGCTTGATTTTCTTCCAAGACAGTAAATTGCAACAGATTGAATGCAGAAGCAAATATAAGAATTAAACCATCTCCTATTAAGCCAGACAGTAAAGAGATTTGCAAAAATGTAAAACAGTCTCCTCTTCTCAATTCTTTTCTTTTTAATTTTGGGAAAAAAGTATTTTTCATTAAAATTATTTACATTAATATAGGTATTGGCAAAAGTAGGTTTACAGTTGTGAGTACACAAAACAGTTTCTTCTTGTATTGTTATTTATTGATCATTGTACTATTTTCCATATGAACAACCATAAACCTACTTTTCCCCACCCCTCTACCTGAATTTATTGTTATTGTAAATAAATAACTTTAATTTTTTTATTGCGTTTTTAATATGATAATTATTGATAGCCACATGAACAAAAGGTCTTTGGGGCTCTCGGTAATTTATAAGACCAGAAAGAGGCCCGGAGACCAAAAACTTTAAGAACCACTAGCCATGATGTGTTTTTCTGAGATCTATCAAGTAATGCACAGGTTATTTAGTAGTTTCAGGGGAAAAGTGATAGTAATTTTATTCCCCGTTATTTAAAAAATAATATAAAATAATAATTTTATTAAAAATCCCTTTGTATTCTTAAAAGTGGCTCATGTGCTACAAGGCCCATCTTGGTTGGTTCATCTTGGCCAATGTTCAGTTTATAAACCAAGGGTTGTTTGTTTTTCCTTTGTGTTGTCATTGGTTAAATTCTAAATTTTCTCTGGCTCAAAAGCATAAAAGTAGAAATAAAACAGTAAAATGCTACAACTCAAAATACCATCATAAATATAGTGAGTAGAGCTTCAGTGTCTATACTGTCCATGTTTATATGTTAGAAAATGATAGGATTCACATTAAAGTCAAAAAGGCAAAAGTGCTAGTATGAAATATGATGATGACTGGAATTACACTTTATTGGACCTTCAGTGGCTCCATCCCTAGTCTCCAAAGGTTGTCTACTCTGAAATTTTGTCACGTAGTTACAGTAAAGTCATGAAACAAAGCACAGTGATGGCCCTTGGGAAGCCAGAGTTTTCCAGAACTGTAAAACAGTGCTTTCTAGGATGAAAGTGATTAATTCTGTCACTAAAGAAGAGGAAGGAACCAGAACTACTAAGGCGTTATTCGCAGGTGTAGAGCACAAATGGATACGTCATGCCTTTGATAAGAAGCCTGTGAGACCAGCCAAAAGTTTAAAAGTTTTACATTTAGAAAAACAGCAGAATAAACTCCTGGTAGAATTACTGTATGAAATGACATGATTGAACATTATCACTATCATACAGGATAAACAGTTATGCTATTTTGTGAAATATGCAATAGTAAATGTTTCAGTGTATGGTGATTCAAACTGAATGTGTGTGCTTAGCTGATGTGCAAAACATACAGCGTGGGGCAAAAGTAGGTTTACAGTTGTGAGTACGAGAAACACAAGTATATTCTTGTATTATTATTTATTAATTATTGTATTACTTATTTGTATTACAACTGTAGCCTAATTTGCCCACCCCTGTATATGGAAAACAAAGTATTTATTGTTTCTCTTGTGTTTAGTCACTCCCGGCCCCCCCCAAAAAAAATCTATGTTACAGATACTCCATTTGGTTATTTTGTGAGCTGTGACATAAAGTGGAAGAGGAAGGGACATTGGGGCCAGTGCTAACACAGCATTACAATTTGTATAGAAAGAAATTGGGTCCCATTCCCATTCCCCAAGCCTCTTCTTCCAAGAGAATAGTTCGCACTCAAGAGTGTGCCTTGAGTTCAGCTGAGTCTTTAATTAGAACAGGAGTCAAACTAAGACTGTTGGGTCAGATCTGTCTCCTCTTCTGTGCCTAGTTTATCTGACTGGTGAACAAGGAATGGTTTTTTCATTTTTAAGTAGATAGGTAAAATATCAAAAGAATGATATTTTGTGGCAGATGAAAAGGATAAGTTAAATATTTTCATGAATAAGGTTTTATTGGAACATAACCACACTCACTGGTTTATAATCATCTTTGGCTGCTTTCACCCTGTCGCAGCAGAGTTGAGACGCAGACCATATGGCCTGCAAAGCCTGAAATATTTACTATCTGGCCTGTCATAAAGTGTAACTCCACTTTGACCCATTGTATTTATTGTTCTTCCCCATGGGAGTTCCTCTGAAGAAAATATTCTACTGCCTTAAAAACAAGTTGTCTTTTTAAAACTATGTAAACTTTTTAAAAGGTCAGCCCAAATGAACTAACATTTCTGTTCTTTTGCCACTCTGATGATTCACAGTTCAGTTTGAAAATACAGATTAAGTAATTCAAGGCAATATTTGAAGGTCCTTACAGGTGATATAAAGATTAACCATTTGTGCCACCAGAGATTTTAAATCTGATAGAGGTATCCTCATATTATAATTTTTTGCATATTTTTCTCAAAAGAGAGATTGAACATAGTTTAAAAGGTAGGCATTTGACTCCTTCTTGTTGTCTCAAATTGAAAGTCAGCAAAATCCTGCCAGTCCAGCATATTCTTGCTCTTCCTTATTTTCCCAAATTTAAGGATGTATTTCCTAAAAGTGTTGGTCTAATTTAGGTGGTGTTCCTGTTTACATTCCTGTAATTTTTCTTAGCACTGAACTATATGTAAGCTTCTTTGGTGTCTTGCTCTGTAGACACAAGAGGGACTCTAACTTTAGCTAGTATAGTGTATTTCATAGTGTCAGCCTTGAGGTTAGACCTATCCTGATTTCTCTAGTTGAGTGAATCTGTTTCCTCAGCTGTGAAATGGAATAACAATAGTAATGCTGATGATGATGATACCTTGTATAGTTTGTTGTGATCCTTAACTGAGATGATGCTTAGTTAATGCTTAGTTTAAGTGTAGTTAAGTAGTACTATGGCAGCTGTGTTGCTCTTTGTTTTGATGGTGGTTGTTATTTTAAATATTAAATAGTTGGTTGAGTGGAATCAGGTTTATTTTTAAACATGTCACCAACATTGTACTTTAGAGAAGGCTAAAAGTTAAAATTAAAGCTTGTGGTTTATCCAGAAAGAGTTATCTCATAGATATTCATCCAATAGCAATGGTGATATTTCTATTCAGTGGGATCGGGGTGATTTTCTTTTTAATTTTGTCCAAAACCTGCTCTCTTTTCACATAGCTTGTATAAAATATAAATTGAGTGCTTACTGTGTGTCAGGGACTGGTCTACTTGCTTTATATTTATGAACTAGGTATTATTACTATCCCTATCTTTAGTTGAAACAGCTGAACCATGAAAGGATTATAAATTTTCAGTTACCCAGCTAGTAAGAGGCAGAGTTGGAATTTGAACCTGTAGTCTGGCTCCACAGTTTGTCTTTAACCACTGTGTTCTAATGCTTTTATTAGACACACTGACTCTCATTTGTTATGTGCTTGTACATAAGCTTATCTTAGGTAACTTTCTTGGAGTTTTCTATATGTGTTACCTATAATACAATAATACATAGTTGTGCTTGACTGAATCAATGAATATGATGTTATGGTAAAATTATTATTAATACAGTATAATCATTGCCTGATTCTGCTTGGCTTCAATTAATAACTGTTTTTCACTGTAGGTCCTCTTAGGAGTTATATATAGCCAGGATTGGCTATTTTGAGGAAATCGACTCCAATACTACAAAAATGTGGGAAATGTAATTCCTGAACAAATCTATTTATATTCCTAAATTAATTTTTCCTTGGTGGTACTCACTCAGAAATATTGGTATGTGTTTAGAGTTTTCACCTTTTTTTGGTCCCTCTGGTAAAGTATTAGCTGATATTTTAGCATTGTGATATAACTCAGTTCTTTATAGATTAAGCCTTAAAAAGTTTGGGCATAATTGTGAAGTTCGTAAAGAGTTCAGTCATGATTGGGAAGTTTGGTATTGAATTTGGCCTCTAAAACTTGAAATAGTAATGATGTTAAAATTTGGTTTATTTTGTGTCTCTTTCAGAATTCTCCACTTTACCAGTACTTACAGGATCTGGGACACACGGACTTTGAAATATGTTCTTCTCTGTCACCAAACCCAGAGAAATGCTCAGTGACAGAGGGACAACAAAAGCCCCCTCTGAGAGCCCTGCCAAAAGTAAGAAAGCATGCTCGTTCTCTCTGACTTGATCTTTTGTTCTTTGCCTTACAAAAAACAAAAACAAAAGACCCCCCATGTCCTCTCCTGCACTGGTGAGACTTGACTTTTTATTCATCAGTAGTACAAAAATGCCTGTTTAAATAAACGCAAATCCTTGTAGTTTTGGACTGTTTCATAGGTGATTTGTATAACCAATGGGAATGAATATGGTTGAAGATCAAAACATGTTATTTATTTAAATAGTGAAGTTATCCGGAGAGGACCAGAAAAATATACTAAAACATTAATGAGAACCCAACTTCTGGGACTCATATATTAACTGGAATAACTTTTTCTTTAAGTATATTACTTAAAAGAGCACAAAATACAAGAAAGCAAATTGATAAAGTATTTCACAGTTTCAAGAATACCTCAATATCTAATGCCCATTATGTATGCAGTATTATATACTTTTATATATACCTCATAGTTGATGTACAGCATTATGAGGCTAAGACACCAGAAGAATCTCCATTACTTATATTCTATAAAATTCATTAACCTAATACATTCATTTGTTTTATTTGACGTATTTATTAAAATAAAAAATATTCTAGTACATTTCAGTTTTAATACAAATAATTCTAATTTAATAAGAAATATAGCCAGATTACTAATTTTTTGAGCTAATTCTAGTTTAATCGGTGTTTTATTACAAGACTCAATTATATTCAGGATGTGGCTTTAAAAGTTTCCAATTACTTATTTACTCTGTGGTGGTAGAGGTCGTTTCTCCTGTTCTTTGAAAAATTCCTAAAATGTGAGGTAACCAAGCTGGGCCCATTTGCAACAGCAGGTTAAAAGCCAGAGAAATCATTTGGGTTTGTCTGTTTGTTTTGGTTCGTGTTTCTGACTAACACCCACAGGATGGGAGTTGGGGAGTGAGAGCTCCAGTGGGTCGGAGCCAGTTTGCCAGGCCTCCCTCTGGACTTAAACCCTGCCTTCTCCTTGCCCTTTCAAATATGGACGTTCCTGGGAAGAGTTCTGAAGGGGAAACCTAAAGATTTATCTAACAGATTATTTGTAGATTAAAATTTGTATCTGAGATTACTCGGTTAGAAAAGACAAAGGCCCAAGGGATAACCTTGAGGCATAGCATGCACACTGACCTCGGTGTGTTGGTGGGGGGGCGGTGCTGCGGGAACCAGGGTGCGGTGGCGCAAACTTGTGTTTTGTAAGTGTTCAGTCCTTTCATTTATGACAAGTGTTTTTACATATAGAAATGTTATTACTTTATAAATAAATAAAATAAGGGTTTAAAATTTCATCCCCTCAGAAATTGAGGAAGAGTAAAAAGCATAGCCAGAGAGTGTTTTTCAAAATTACCACATGTCTAGAAAGTTTGTTTAGTCTTCATCATACACAGTTCAGCTGTATGGGCTGTATTTTTCTAAAATGGTGTTTTTGTAGAACTGTAATGGCATAATTAATAAAATATATTTTAAAAAATAAATAAGTAAAATGGAGTTTTTCTAAATCTGGGGCAACTAAATTTTAGAAAACTACTATACTATTTAGTTCCTTCTCAGTGGGTGTATTTTTAGAATTTCCCTCAAACTTTTGTTCAAACACTGAAATGCCAGTTATTTTCTTTGGAGAGCAAAATTTTGTATAATATGAGTTTAAATGAAATGGTCCTTAGCACTAGTGCCCTTTTTTAACTATTTTTTCATGTGTTTGTCAAGTACTTACTGAGTAGTCTGTACTGGTATTCTCACCATAAATATTTATTGTCTATACATTTTTTGTTTTTTTTCCTTGTATGTGTGTTGTTGTTTTTAAGAATCACTGGCTTGCCTCTAATTAGTTTTAATCCTTAAACATTTAGAAGTGGAATCAATCAGAAGGCAAGAGTGTAGGAGAATCATTTTTCAACACTTTTCTTATAAACTCATATTTCAGACTCTTCTTTGGAGTAAAATAGGCTCTCTGCTGTTCACAGGATTATTTCTGAGTTGCAAAGACTCCATATTTTCCACTGTATTCCCCCATGTCATCTTGGCTGCCACAATGAGACAGACAAAAATCATGAGAACGCCCCCCCCCCTTTTTTTTTTGCATCTGCACTGAAACCTTAGCAGCAGACAGTAGCTGCTCCAGGTCTGTCAAATAGATAACGTTTCCTGTGTTTATTCTCAAATGTTCCCTCTATAACATTTAGCACCAGTCCTCCTCTCTGCTTAGTCTGTTTTCTCTGATAGATCCCCTCTATATCTAGTTTTCATTGGCCACTCACGTCCATTTTCCACCTTTGCTGAGCTTCAGATATTTGTTAGATGTTCCCACCTGCCTGTGCCCCAGGAAGCTCAGATTTAACATGTCTAAAACAGAGCTTCTTTCCTTAGCACCCCACAAACAAATATTTTTTATATTTTTCCAAATTACCACCTTCTTAGTTATCTTAAACTTTCCATCACTCCCACACTGATTTAGCCACAAAATGATATGTCAGTGTCTGTGTCTCTAAATCCAACCCTAATCACTACCATTTTTGCTATCCTAGTACAGGCCTGGATATTATTTAGCTGGCTACAATCATGCCCTGCCAGTACAGCCTCTGCACTGCTGCCAGTTACTTTTCTAAAATGCTGATTTTTTTTTTTTATTGTTTCACTACTTGCATGAAAACCTTAGGTGGCTCCTCAGAGCCTACAGGGTAAAATCTAAACTGGTGGCATGTGAGACCGAAGTTCTTTAAAACCCATCTCAGTGTATCTTTTAACTTATCACAATTCCCTTGAGTCTCAACCGTCCCGGACTACGCCACCAGCCCCACAGCACGTTCTTCCATGGCTCTCTCCTGTAATCCTCCTGTCCCTTGCCTGAGTGTCCTAACTTCCTCTGTTGTTAAATTTCTACTTGTCTGTTAGGGCTCAGTTCCATTGTTAGCTCCTCTTGGCATCTTCTTTTTCCACACTTTTTCAGACTATATATTGGTTCATAATTATTTTTGTACTGTCTCTTCTGTACCAAGCTCTTGACAATGACAGTTATGTGTATTCATCTTTGTTCCCATACCCTTTTTCAATACCTGGGATATAGTGATCACTCAGTGAATGTAAACTCCATACGGGCATGCTCAGGAAATGGACTATTAAGGTATATCGAATTTTTGAGTGATTCAATAATATACTTTTTACTTCAATGAGACAGTTTTTCTAAAATTAAATTTTCTTTCTGCCTTAGCATTATGGAATGAAATGTTTTTAATATCTGAGAACTTGGAGAACCCTATGGTTTTCTTGACATAGATAGCATCATCTTGACATAGATAGTTTATACTGTACCCAAGATAAATGGGCTGCATCAGAAAGATTTCTGACTGCTCATTAAAAATCACATTTTCAGGTCTTATTTCAAATTTACTGAATCTAAATTGTTAGTTTGGAGATTTAGGAATATGTTTCTAACTAAAATAAAATTCAGTTGATTGTGATGTGCAAGTAAATTTGGGAACTAATAAGGAGGCTGAGACATACTGACAAAGCATATAACCTGGATGATTTTTCTCCCTTTTTCTGATAAAAATTGTGATTAATTAGACAGAAATTATTTGACGTTTTTCTGCTGCTTGGGTGTGGTTTAATAATCCTATACAACATCATTCATCTCCTTCAGCAAGGCATTCTGTTAAAAGTGGCTGAAACCATCAAAAGTTGGATTTTTTCTCAGTGCAGTAAGAAAGATGACTTACTTCACAAGTTGGTAAGTGTTCTTTTTACCCTTTTATTTTGTCAGTCTTCAGGTCTCTAGTTTATTAGTGAGAGTATTAACAAATCAGAATTTGTCTCACTACTGATTTGGGCAGTGATCGATTTTTTATTAGAAATTCTGGGCATTTCTTTAAAAAGAGACTCTCCACTTCATTAATTGTTAAATAAAGTTGTTTCTATCACCTAAAAAAAAAAGAAATTCTTCAGTAACTGGAGATCTTTGAATTTGGACTCATTAGTATCATTTCATAGTTCTAAGAGGTTATTAGCCACTTAGAATAAAGTAGTCTGGTAGTTGTTGAAACCTTGTATGTTACAAGGTTTCCTGCTGCCATCTTCTTCCTTTGAAAGCTGTTTCTCCTAGTAGGGAAGGGAATAGGAATATAACCATTGGTGGGATTTTCTCCCTTTTTCATTAGGAACTTGACTGCCTCTGTCCTTATCCCACATCCAATGATTACAAAGTTTGGGTTAAAAAAAATCAAAAGTGGTTCCTCCCTAATAATATATGTATCATTAATCTGACTTCAGATTAATTTATTTTATTAATTTATTTGCCATTCTCTGACAATTTTATATGTAAACTTTGATCTCCTGGGACTGATAAATTACAGAATTTTTCAAAGACTTGGAGTAGTCAACATTGAGAGTCTTTGTGGTTCTGTAAAGGTTGCTGTTTTCCTTCTCTCTGCAGCAGTTTATCTCTGTTTGACCTCTTGACCCCCCCCAAGAGGGTGTAGTACTTCACGTTTTTGTAGTGTAACAATACAGAATTGAAGTTATAATGTTCTTCTCATGGTTCTCAGTAGGAGTGATCAGGTTACAAGGAAGCAGGTTTCCAGGATCTTCTGCTGGCCCGTGACCCTAAGATAATAATTATTATTCTCATAAACTATTATTTATAAAGAAATGTTTACAAAGTGCTTTCACATTTTAATTTGGTAATCTAAATTTCCAACAGGTAAAATGCACCAAACCTTGTAAGGAGAATCTTGTTTGAAATCCTGAGGTTCAGACTGCTCAATTGGTTTTAGAATACATAAATGAATTATTCAAGAATGTTCACCTAGTGAGAATTTGCATTCAGATTTCCTGGTTTCAAAGCCCAGGCTTTTTACTGTAATATACTACCTCATAGTTTGAGTATTATTATGTTTTGACTGACTAAAATGACTATTTCAGCAATCCAAAAGGGCAAGTTCTCTGTTCAGGGTTTCATCTTTATAGGTGTGTTGAAAAAGTCAGTGAAGTGTCTTGTCCTCTACGTAGAATATCCACTCCATCCGAGTGGAGCCATCCTCCTTCTTCAGTGACGCTAGGACTCTGGTAAGGTATATGGGTCCACATACACTTTCTGTGGTTCAGCCATGGCTGGTATAGTCCTGATCTTTTCCTTCTGGGTTCTCTGTCTCTGGCCACATGTTTCATGTCATGCTTCACTATCAAGTGCCAGCTTCTATGTATATCCTTTTGGACTTGTATTGTAGAGAATTGTAGGAAGTAGAACCTAAGAAATAGTGTACTGGTAATGGAACAAGGCATTGCCTGGTTGGCTTCTGGCATGAGATTCCTTGACCTTTTCCCCTGGATTGTGACATAGTTGAAATTTTGTTAGCTATACAGCTATTGAACCAGTCTCTCTTTCCTTTTACAAAAATACTGGCAGTTGCTCCATGATGGCTGAACATTTCCCCATTGTTCATTTTTATTACAGTAGTACTTTCCTTCTTAAAGATGAAAAAAATTCCTTCATACCAACTATGATGATAGTGATATTAGCACTTTTAAAGCACTTTTTAGCCTATAAAGGGCTTTCATGTGTTATCTTATTTGACCCTCATTAGCATGAAATAGTATTACTTGTTAAAAAGTGTATAAGATCATTGAAATGTATCGACACATGAATAATTCATTCCCTTTACAATCCCTAGGGAAAAAATATCAGTCTCTTTATTCTTTACCTGTGCTTTCACTTCCTTTTCATTCCATCCAGGCAGAAATCTTTTTCTTAATTTATATCTTAAAAAGATCCCTATTATCTATCATAGCTATCATATCAAATTCAATTAATCATGTCTAAATCAAGAGTCTGCATAATTTGTCCTAATCTACCTTTATAGCCTTATCCACCAATAATTTTCATCAGCCAACCCAGTCTTCCTTTTCCTTTATTCTGTATCTGTTCTTTTTGTCTGTGTTTGTGCTATTTTATTGTGGTAGAATTCTTTCCATTTTTCTATTATTGGAGTCTTTTCAATAAGCAGTCTAGCCCTTCCCCAAGGCCTTTCCCAGAAACCTCAGCCCTTTGATCTCTTATTTTCTGCAACAACCTAGTAGTAATTATCTATGCTATGACCTGTAAGTTTTTGTATTATATTATACATGCTTCTTTTTGTTATATTTTAATTATTTCATCTGCACTAACAATACTAGCAGCTAACACTTACATAGTGTTTACTGTGAACCATACACTCTTGGTATTTTACAAATACTGACTTAACTAATTCTCACCACAACCCTATGAAGCTGGCACTGCTTATTTTTCAGATGAGGAAACTGGAACAGAGGGTGGGATGTAGTAAAGGGTGAAGGAAGCCAAATACATGGTGACAGGTGATGATTTGACTTTGGGTGGTGGGCACATAGTACAATATACAGACCATGTGTCTAGAAGTGTACCCTGAAAACGTTTGTGACTCTACTGACCAGTGTCATCCCAATAAATTTAATTTTAAAAAAGGGAAACTGGAATAGAGAGGTTATTAATCTGTTTAAGTTGTGGAACCAGCATATAAACCCAGGTACTAATTTGGCTGTGGTACTCAAACTTGTTGAGGGTGAACCAAAGTTCCCATAGTGCACCGCCCTGCAGCACATCACGCCCAATTGTTCAGATGATATCTGCTACCATTGAAGTCCATTGGAATTGGTGCCTTTTGAATTTCATGTGTTTGAGTCTTGGACCTGAATCCAAACAGGTCTGTTGTAGCATGTTTCTTAATTTAGCAAGTATTTATTTCCCCAGTATTTTCATTGCCATATTGTAACACAGTTTCCATATTTTCTGCAGTTCTTATTTTTATAATTAAAGGATAATAATTTATCATTTATCTTTAAGAAAAATTGTGTTCATTAATCTTATCCAGTTTTACAGCTATAATTATCAGAATATAGTTCAAGTTCTTCCTTTGTAGAGGCAATCTAATAACAGAAAATATTTTGTTATTTGGAGTGTCTTGATACCTTTTAAGTTAATTTGCTTGTGTAGATCACTGTAGGTTATTAGTTTGTCACACTTTTGAGTCAGGTATTCCCAAAGCTATTCATACTGTGTCAGGGCACACTGGTTTTGGGTACACATTATCCCAGTTTGGGAGGTAGGTCTGTTGCCCAGGAGTGGGGTAAAAGTAGGTGAGTTCCTGATTAAGCAGCATGTCTGTAAGAGGCTCTGTGAAGCTCCCACTGTGTGAATAGCTTTTCTCCTCTGTATGAGCCTTAGCCTTCACTCTGTAAGGCTTCTTTCAACTTACCAGTGTACAGGTATACAGAGGTAAGTTGATTTATAAAGTATGATTTAAAACATTTGTAAAAAAAAAAAAAAACACCTTAATTTTTTAAATATTGTATTTGAATGTGTCATGTCTCATCGGGGATTCCAAACCCCAATATGTGAAATTTATTTCAAAGATTACTTGAAAATCAACCATGCTTCACTTCCTGCCCCTGTTGCTGCCCCCCCACACCCAAAGGTAGTATAAAGTGAGTTGTGCTGCTCTCTCTTTATGAAAGTAGGGTGGGCCATCAAACAATTAAGTGATTTCTAATGTTAGAATCAGGATTGTAAGAAGAAGGAGGCAAGTGTTCAAACATGAAATGTAGAAGTGCTGCTGAGCCCATGCAGAAGGTGGGCTCTCACCAGCAGAAGGTGAGAAAGCCGCATCAGGCTAAAAGGAAAAGGAACATTCCATTGAAACAATGTTACTGTTTTAGATTAGGGAGAATGAATAAATAAATATATCCTAGTGGATAGGCCTAATGTTAAAAACATTCTTTTTATTCTCGAACAGTGCTGTGTAACCTGCAGTCAAGTTTGATATATAGATCACAGTATTCCTACTAAGTTCCCATTATGAGCAGCTAAGGGCTGGACTCTGTGGTGTGAGAATGATTCACTAAGAAGTGCAATTGCACCCGCTGCTTTCAAATTCTAGACCTTCCTTTTTTAATTGCAAATGACTTTGTCATTTAAAAGTTCTCTTTATTTTTATCTTATAGTAGGATCAACCTATTCCTAAATTTAATACAAGAATAAAACCTTCAGTTTTGTGGTAGAGCATAATATATACAGTGAAGCAAAAATCAACTACCAGAGATTTAGGCTTTGAAATTAGACCTCTGGAAAATTAGTTAATTTGTTTGGGCTTCATTGTTTTCTTAAAGAACAGAGAGAAGGATGATAACGTACATTACAGGGTTACTGTGAGAATAAACCTAATATCCGCTTTAACATTGCTACCTCATCTCTTACCTCTCTACCATGTACACTCTGCATAAAGCTAATATCAATGACTTGCAGTTCCAGCGAAGCTTCTATTCTGTCTCATCTGACTCTTCCAACTCCTACATCTGGTCAGTTCTTGTTTCTACTTTAAGACTCAGCTCAGGCATTACCTCTTTTACTTTCTCTGACTTCATTGCAAGTTTTGGTCTCTCTATGGCATTTTCATAATATCCTTGGTATACCTCATTGCCCCTCTCTGTTTGCTTTTTGATTCCTCATTGAACTATGAACTCTATAAAAGTAGAGACTTTTGTCTTGTTCATTTTTCTGTGTGTCTTGGTGCCAAACATGGTGCCTGGTATGTATAAGATTATTCCTTGACAGATATATAGAAGGAAAAGAGGAAGGAATAAATGAGCTGGTATATGTGAAAGCATTTTGCAAACTATAAATGCCGTGCACATGTTAGTGTGGTTTTACATTACATTCCTTAATGATGTATTTTTAATATCCAAATGTTCATTTTTAGAAGGCCTTGATCCTGCTGGCTATACTATTACAAGCATCCAGGGACAGCATTTTATGTTACCAAATTATATTTTCCATGTGTGTTCCAGCAATTTAATAATTCGGGGTTAACGAGACATTTATTCATCTGTAGCTACTTTACATATTTTTATTAAAAACTTAATTTACATCTGGTGGCTCCATAATATCCACCTCAATTTTTATTGTTTCACATTTACAGTGGGGGGGGGGAACCCATACATTATATGCAAGATAGATTGGACTGTTGTTTATTCTTCTTCTTGGAGTTTATACTGAAAGTAAACACCTCTAAATTTTATTAGCACTTTAGCAACTTAGCATTTAATGCAAAATTATGTATGCATCACTACCTCTCTTCTGGTCTGTTAATGGCAAGGATACTGGATTCCGACTCGACTCACTACATACCATCCTGCAACAGGAAGTCCTGTTACAAGAGGATGTGGAGCTGATTGAGCTGCTTGATCCCAGTATCCTGTCTGCAGGGCAACCTCGACAGGAAAATGGACACCTTCCAACACTTCGCTCTCTGGCAACCCCTAATATTTGGTACTGTCCAGAAAACATCTATCCTTTGCTTACGTATAGAGTATTCAGAGGAAAGCCATCATCTTGCTCCCCATTGTAAAGGCATTATAAACATTCCATACACTGTAGCATTGTAGCTAATTATATTCCAAAGGTTTTTTTTAAAAGTACCTTTCTAAAGTAAATCCTAATTAAAGTGAAGCTGAAAAAAAAAATCCACTTTCAAATCAGTATAATTAGTTCTGAATTTAACAGCCCAACAACAGGTATGACATGCCAAAAGGAACCTTTCTTGCCCATATACCTGTGCACATGTGTGCATGCAGGCCTAGCCAGTTCTTCGTTTCTTTACAATTAGTAGATTATATCATAATTACATTGTAGAGACAAGGGTAGGATGGGACGTGGAGATAAACAGTCACCTCTTGCTTTGTTGGCTAAGAGATCACAGGGAACATGGTCTAATGATTTACCTATCCTACAACTTTTCAACAACTTCAAAAATTTGCATCTAATAAGTCCGAGGATAATCCATTTAAAAAAAAAAGAATAATGGTAAAAGGGGATTTTATATATATATATATACACAGAACTATTAATGTCCTTTTCCTGTTAAAGTATCAGTTTATTAAATGAGCTAAATCATTGCTTAAACTGTTCCAGGCTATACAGGCAATTACATTCATTGGCCTCAGTGTTCTGAGTTCATCTGTCACACTGACAACTACTTTGTATTCTAACATAGCAAAGTATGATGTTTTCCAAATGGGTTTCACTCACATATCATCCTGATGAAGTAAAGCACCTTTTCCTTTAAAAATATAAGAACTTAGGGGCTACTAAAAGGAACCATAGGTTTTCAGAATTTTATACCTTTCAAGTTTTCTTTAGCCACAGTTGTGATTAAGCAACTTTGAGGCCTGTAAATAATTGTACACTTTTTTTTGTTTTGTTTTGTTTTTTAATATTTTATTTTATTTTTCGAGAGAGGGGAAGGGAAGGAGAAAGAGTGGGAGAGAAACATCAATGTATGGTTGCCTCTCATGCATCCCCTGCTGGGAACTGGCCTGCAACCCAGGCATGTGCCCTGACTGGGAATCGAACCTCGATACTCTGGTTCGCAGGCCCACGCTTAATTGTACACTTTTCTGTTAATACATTCAAGTAGATGATGAGAGTTTATTCTAAACGTACAGGATGCCATGGTGAATTAGGGCAGGCAGATATTTATTAAGAGGCACTTTTATATGTGACTTTTTTTGTAGTTTGACTATATTGTTGTTTTTCAGATGCATCTCTACATTCACCTTTTCTAATGCATACATGTTTTCATCAAAGTCTTCATTGCTTAAAAGATGTGTTTTAATCTATAGATTTGTAATTGACCTAAGTAAAAATACTTTATACACATTTTTACTGCAGTTAAAGCAGTGTCAAAGTATAAACCTTATCCATATTATGGTCTATAGTATACGTATTCCAGAATTGTGACAATATAAAATTAGATGGCTTTATACAAAATAATTACCCATCAAGTATATATTACTTCTAATTGGAAAAATGTTTATATTTTCTTGAGATACTATATATCTGTTCAAATAATTAAAGTCTGATTTTAGAGAAAAGGAACTCTATATTTGAATATTAATAAAGTATTTTAATATTAAAATTAGTAAAAATTAAGCTATTTCTACTTTTAAATTTATAAAATTAGATTTTTAAATCTATAATTTATTTTAGATTAAAGAGTCCATGTCTTTTAAAAATAAAAAGTTATGGATTCAGAGTGTGTTATGCTAAGTGAAATAAGTCAGAGAGACAAATACTATATGATTTACAAGTGGAATCTAAAAATCAAAATAAACAAACCAAACAGAAACAGACTCAGATACAGAGAACAAACTGATGGTTACCAGGTGGTAGGGGTGTTGGGGGACTGGGTGAAAAGGTGACGGGATTGATAAATTCAGATTGGTAATTACAAAATAGTCATGGGGATGTAAAGTTACAGCATCGGGAATATAGTCAGTAATTATTTACATGCCAATGGGTACTTGAATTATTGGGGGGATCACTTCCTAAATTATATAATTGTCTATGCTGTACACCTGAAGCTAGTATAAAATAATATTGAATGTCAACTGTAATTGAAAAGATTTTTGAAAATAAATGTTTTCATTCATGTCAGAAGGCATCTATTTCTTATGTCCTTTAACTTAAACTTATTAGCTCAGATTTTAATATCTAAAGACTATCGTCTGGTTGTTTGATATTTTTATACTATTTCACAAGAATTTTTTAAATGTCATATTTTTAAGGTATATGTTACAAAGAAGCTAACATTTTATCTATTTTAGTAAACCTAATTTATTGATAAGGTAACTCACCTTTCTATAGTCTGAAGGGTATTATTTTTTGGTTTCTCTGTTATAGGGATGTCTCGATGCTGTTTGCTCTCATTAGTTTGCTTATTATGCTTCCCACTTGGTGGATTGTATCTACCTGGCTAGTATGGGGAGTGATTCTATTTGCTTATCTGATCATGAGAGCTTCAAGATTGTGGAGGACAGCCAAACTACAAGTAACCCTAAGAAAACACAGTGTCCGTTTGGAAGACACGGCAACAAATAGCCGAGCTTTTACTAATCTTGTGAGAAAAGCTTTACGTCTCATTCAAGAAACCGAAGTCATTTCCAGAGGATTTACACTGTGAGTGCATTTTTTATTTTATTTTTAAATAATTATTTTTACTACATAGCTAATTTAGAATATTATCTATTTTCATTTCTTTGTTGCATCTATAGAAAAAAGTGGATTTCTCTTTAGCACTTACTGAAGTTAACTGCACAGTGAAGGAATAAATACATGCTAAATTTAATATATAGTATGATTGTGCTTATCTGCTTTGAGAAACCAAAGTGCTTTGAGAATCATAATTATTCTTGTATTGTCATGTAATTATATGAGCTAATATAGCAAGAGAGACTACCATTGAACCCAGCATGAAGTTACCCAATAAATACTTGTTTCCTTTACTCCTTCTTGTCAGATGCTCTTTCTTCAGTTTAATTGATAGATGTATCTAACATGAATTCATTTTGAAAACTCTTGCCATGTATTAATAATATTCTTTAGGTAAATGTTAGCAGATATTATGGCATGGATACTCTCGAAATGTCATGCAAATAATAATGTTTCACATTCCCATGGTGCTCTGTATTAGTACTGAAATTATTATCTACCAGTCTAGCTGTAAGTATATTAACCTGCAGGTTATACAGGCTATTTACTCTGTTGTTAAAGGGAAATTATATGTACTGAGCACCAGGTATGTTCCATGTACTGTGCCAAGCAATTTTGCATACAGCCATACCATCAGGCTCTAAAGCATGTTTCCAGTACAGTAGGCTGGCTGCTAAAGGCTAACAAAGATTCCTTTGTATTGTATACATTTAATATTATATAACATATAACCTTTGCAATCTATAGGTGGGAGAAAGTAAGTATATGGTGAAGATAATTTTTGCTGTTAATTGTAGTTATATCTGGAAGATCATGAGAAGGAGGAGCAGAACCTTTGGTATTCATCACATCTTTTACTGAGCCCTGCTCTGTATTAGTACTGAAATAATTTTGACATAAAAGCTGTATCTGAAAAATCATGAAACAGCGCAGTGGAAAACTCTCCAGTAGTCATCTCATTCTTCATTGTCATATTCTGAAACAGTATTTTAACAATCCCAAGACGCGAAAGAGATTTATTACTAATCTTTCAGTTCAGTTCAGATGGAACAGTCCTTGGTATCTGTTAATTTTTGTCCTTCCATTCTTTACTTCCTTTTGATAAAGCATAGCAAATACTAAGCTGTTTGACTGTCAAGTTTTAAAAGTTAAAAATCCACTAAGAGTAAGAGCTGTTTTTCATTCTTGACTTGCACAGTGCCTTACTGAGAGGACTGACTGGCTTAAGCAAAGAGCTGTGGGTTCAGTTAATGCTTAGGCATGTATAGAGGATTCTCTGCCTTTTGTTATTGTCCGCCTTTTACCCTTACATATTGAATAGTCATGAAAAGCTAAAATGAGTCAGTTAGACATGATTTACCTCCAGATTATGACTTTTATCCATCCAGATGCAGACAGGCAAGAAGAAATGTTGGGGGGAAATGTGCTTCGCTTATCTTCATCTAACAGAATAATTGATTGAAAAAATTATGAGCAATAATCTTGAATCATAATATTTTTAGTTTTTAAAACTCAGTAAGTAAAATGGAGTATAAACAATAGTGCCATATGTTGAAAAAAATAGTACTTTTGTTCTCCTTCAGTTTGTCCTCTATAGCAAATAATTTTACCCTTCTTTGCATCATTGTTTTATTTTAAAATAAGCCTATCAGTCATTGTCCTGTTTTTTAATAGATTTTTAATGCCTGAACTTATTTTAATTTGGTTTAACATTTTTAAAGTTTTGAGTTAGTTGTCTTGTTTTACATTCTGTGGGTATAGTGTGAGAAATTTATAAATTCCAATACTTTGTTTTGCTATTGGGACACATTACTGCTTAGGTGGGAAAAAAACATTCTCCAATAACTGTGTAATATGCAATGATTCATAGTTTCATGTATCAAAGCATTATGTGTTCTATGTCGTTGTTGCAAATAGGTGCTCCCCCTGTATTGTTTGGAAAGTGCTATGCAGTGTGCTTCCTCTTGAACAGTTTTGAGAGTAGCTTTGCTACTACATAGTAACCCTCACTCTGCCTTTCTACTTGCATTCCCCTGTTGGCCACTGGTCCTGTTATGTTTCTGCGCCCCCTACTTCATTTTGAGTAGGTAAGTGCCAGTGGCAGCAGGTGGGTAAGTCATTTTACCCTATTTTTATGAATGTACAGAAAGCACTTCTGTATAGTATTGGATTGTTCTGTACAAGTGGCCCAAAATATGATTGATGAACATATGTGAATGCATATTAAGAATGTGAAAGTGTTTGTGATAAGGCTTTCATACTGTAAATAAGGGTTTTAAAAGCTAAATGTAAAGTAGTACCACTTTGGTATATTGTAGCAGGGAGAGTGTCTATATAAAAAAGTTGTTATTTTTACATAAATACTCTTGCATTTCTACTATATTTCAACCACAGTTCTTTGTTTCCCCATATTAGAGGAGCCTTTATAGTTTCAGATTTTAATTTTTTATTTATCTTTCTCTGGTGGCTATAAATGTATCAGGGAAATGCCTACTTATAAGACCCGAGTGTGATTACTTATAATCATTTTCTAATGAAAATTGTGGAAAAGGAATTTTTTCTAAACTTGATAGAATTATGGATTTAAGAATCAAAAACTTTAGGACACCTGTACAGTTGTATCACATTTTACTTTTCAAGTTTGCTTGACAGGGTCAGTGCTGCTTGCCCATTTAATAAAGCTGGACAGCATCCCAGTCAGCATCTCATCGGTCTTCGGAAAGCTGTCTACAGAACCGTGAGAGCCAACTTTCAAGCAGCAAGGATAGCTACCCTGTATATGTTGAAAAAATATCCTTTTTTTGTCTAAAAGTAAGAAAAAGAAATGTTTCCAGATTCCTGAATATAGATCTTATAGTTGCATCCTGTAAAAGTTATATATAAACTGAGATTGCCTATTTTAAAGCTAATTTCCAGCATTACTTCTATTTTGAAACTGGAAATGCATTCCAGGGGGAATGACAATAACAGACAGGAAGATCGTTCTTCTGCCATCATGTGCCTCATTTTTAGCAAGGAGAATACTGGAAGTCCCTCCCTTTACTGGTCCAAAGAATAAAGTCTGACTTTGCTGGATTTGACATTTTTAAAATTACTGAACATGGCCAGTTTGTATCATGACATAGAAAGAAACTGGCAACAGGAAATCCTTCCCCTTTCAAAAAACAGAGGCTCTAGAGTCAGATCAGCTACATTTAAATTTTGGCTGTATCTGTTGCTGCCTAGGAGACCGTAAACAAGTTTCTTAACTCTCTGTGCTTTGCTTTATTCATTTTAAAAATGGCAGTACTAACATAGTCTTTCTGACTTTTTTGGACATCAAATGAGTTAGTACATATAAGTCTTAGATAGTGTCTGACACTCAAAGAAAATACATAATAGTGTCAGTCAAATTTACTAAATCAAAAAATTAGTTGTTAGGAAATAAAGGCATACAAGATCTTTATTTTAATTAAAATTCATAAATAAAGTATGAGTAAATGGAGTATAAAGACTGCTGACTTCCGCCAAGATGGAGGCGTAGGTGGAAGCACTTTGCCTTCTCATACAACCAAGTTTAAAAACAACAAAGGTTTAGCAACAAAAACGCAGCCAAAACCACAGAAAATTGAACTATACGGAAGTCTGACAACAACGAACCCTTCAGCCAAACTGGTAAGAGGGGCAGAGCAGGGTCGGGCAGGAAAGATCCACCGGATGAACCCGGGCACGCAACCCAGGCACTCAGGCAGCCATGGGCGGATCCCAGGTGTGGAGTAGCAGGCAGACCCACTGAGGGCTGACTGGGGTCACACATTTGAGCGCAGATTAACCAGTGAAGGAGCGAGCAGTGAGACAGACCATGCAGGCCCCAGTGGTGGGAAGCGGCAGAGGGGACCGCCATTGTCCCTCTGTGACCCTGCCCCCACATACAGCATCACAAACCAGCGACCTGGGTGGCCTCTCTCTGACCCGTCCCCACATATAGCGTTACAAACCAGTGACCTGGGTGGCCCCGCCCTGGTGAACACTTAACGCTCCGCTCATCATACGTAACAGGCACAAACAGATCAAAACATGGCTCAAGAACAACTTAGAGCCCCAGAGCCGATAAATCTAAGCAATGAAGAAATAGCCAAACTTTCAGATGCACAGTTCAAAACACTGGTAATCAGGATGCTCACAGAACTGGTTGATTATAGTCACAAATTAGAGGAATATATGAAGGCTAAACTAATTGAAATAAATGGAAATGCACAGGAAACCAATAGTAATGGAAAGAAAACTGGGACTCAAATCAAAGGAGTGGACTAGAAAGAGGAAAAAAAATGACCAAACAGAAAAGAATGAAGAAACAAGAATTCAAAAAAATGAGGAGAGGCTTAGGAACCTCCAGGACATCTTTAAACATGCCAACATCCGAATTATAGGGGTACCAGAGGGGGAAGAGGAACAGCCACGAGTGGAAAACTTATTTGAACAAATAATAAAGGAGAACTTCCCCAATCTGGCAAAGGAAATAGACTTACAGGAAATCCAGGAAGCTCAGAGAGTCCCAAAGAAGTTGGACCCAAGAAGGAATACACCAAGGCACATCATAATTACATTAGCCAAGATTAAAATGAAGGAGAGAATCCTAGAAGCAGCAAGAGCTAAGGGGACAGTCACCTACAAAGGAGTTCCCATCAGACTGTCAGCGGATTTCTCAAAAGAGACCTTACAGGCAAGAAGGGGCTGGAAAGAGGTATTCCAAGTCATGAAATCCAAAGACCTACAACCAAGATTGCTCTATCCAGCAAAGTTTTCATTTAGAATGGAAGGACAGATAAAGTGCTTCTCAGATAAGGTCAAATTCAAGGAGTTCATCATCACTAAGCCCTTATTATATGAAATGTTAAAGAAGATAAAAAGATAAAAAAGATAAGAAAAAGAGGATAAAAAAGATGAACAGTGAAAGGACAGCAAACTCACAGTTATTAACAACCACACCTAAAACAAAAGCAAACTAAGAGGACAGCTAGATCAGGAGCAGAACCATAGAAATGAAGATCACATGGAGGGTTAGCAACAGGGGAGTGGGAGGAGGAGAAGGAGGCAGAAGGTACAGAGGATAAGTAGCATAGACGGTAGGTAGAAAATAGATAGGGGGAGGGCAAGAATAGTATGGGAAATATAGAATCTAAAAAACTTGAGACACGTGTTCATGTGAATAACTGAATTTCTAATACTTTAGATGTGAAATGTTTTATTCACAAGGATCCTGTAAAATATCTGAGGTATGCTGTTTCTTTTCAAATGATGTAAATCTCCTCCAGTCAAAGTTCAGAACAAAGAATAGGAAAGGTAATACTGGGCAGTTTTAATGTACCCTTTATGCTTTAATGAAAAGTCTTTGTTGATTGCCTTAACCTAATTTAACCTACCCCCTGAACTCTGAGAGTGACAATGTAACCAACTACATCTGTGTGGTGCCTTTTAAGGAGCTGGGCCTTGGACTTAGTGAAGAGCAGATTTCAGAAGAGGAAGCACATAACCTTACAGATGGCTTCAGCCTGCCCGCATTGAAGGTGATCCATTGGAGGAAGGGAGGGAAGGGCTGGAGTAAAGACAGATGCTCCTGGATTGTGCCTGTGCTTTCTGAACACAGACGGTGCCCCTGTTCTCTTTTATTGTTCCTGCAGACTGTTACTATAATAGCCTTACTGATGTTTTTGAAGCTGCCTATAAAAGCTTAATATATTATAAATGTTGGGTAAGAAGATCCTTATAGTTTGATATTAAAAAACTTAAAATTCTTTTTTTTAATACTTCAAATTCTTAATGTAAGCATTAATTAAAATTTGGCGATAAGTGAGTTTAATAGGGAACCAGTATGAATGATTTTATCTACCAGCCATTTGTTTCAACAAACGTAAGTAAAGAAGTTTGAAGATCTACATCTTCCCTTTGGTAAATGTCCACAGTACTTATTTAGAACAGAATTTTTTTCATATATTAAAAGCCAAATGAAAGGATACATTTGGCCCTCGTTAGTGTGGCTCAGTTAGAGCACCCCACAAGATGAAAGGTCGTGGGTTTAATTCCCAGTCAGGGCCCATGCCTAGGTTGTGGGCTTGGTCCCAGTTGGGACACATATGAGAGGCAACCAGTCGATGTTCTCTCTCACACTGATGTTTCTCTCCCTCTCTTTCCCTCTCTCTAAAATCAATAAGCATGTCCTTGGGTGAGGATAAAAAAGAGAGAGATTTTTGTCAGTTCTACTTTCACAATATATCCAGAGTCCAAGTATTGCTCACCTCTTACTGCTAACCACTGAGGTATAAGCTACCATTTACTCCATTTGAATTATTACAGTATACTCCTAATGGGTCTCCACTTCTCTCACCTCCCTGTCTTCTCTCAACACAGCAGCCAGAATGAGCCTACTGAAGCATAATTCAGATCATGTAACTCTGTATTCAGACCCTTTCAGTTGCTCCCCGTTTCTGTTAAGAGTAAAAGCCAGAGTTACTTTAGTGACTTCATCACTTACCACACTCCTCTTCAGCCACACTGACTTTCTTGTTCCTCAGATGTACCAAGTACACTGCTACCAAAAAACTTTGCAATGAACCTCCTGCTTCCTGCAATTCTCTTCCTAGTTGATAGTGTTATGGCTCAATTTTGGATCAGACTTTTCTAGAGCCCTTCCTGACCACCTCTCCCCCTCCCTCTCTTTCCCCTGCACATGCGCACAGAAATACATACTCGCTGTTCCCCATCTCTGCAGTATTTTTCCCCGCAGCCCATCAGCAGAGAAACAATGTCTTTTACTTGTTATACCTGTTGTCCCCATACTTGAATATAAGCTTCAGCAGGGCAGGGACTTTTCTTTCTCTTTTGTTCTCTACTGTATTGTCAGCACCTAGAACAGTTCTGGTACATTATAGGTGTTCAGAAATGCTTGCAGAATGAATAAAGGAATAAAGGAAATCATTATAATCATAACATTTAATGGTTAATAAGACTTATGAGGTAAGCTTATCTATATTCCAAAATTCCTAGGTAAGTTTGTCTTTAGCAGTTTGGAAATTTGACCTTGCTTATTTTTAAAAAATAAATCAATTGTAAATCTGTTTTACATTAAATTATCATACTATTCAGTTAATAAAACAGTCTAAAAATGTCTACTTTGTTAGCTGTGAAAAATTGGACTCAAAATTGGTTCAGCCCTTTTTGTAGCACGCTAACTCTCATTCGTACTAGACTGCTTCCTCGTGTTTGCTTGTTTGTTTGTGTTGGAGCTGCTGTCCTCCTCCTGAACAGGACTCTATCTGGAGAAATCCTTTGCTGCCTGAACTCAGGGCATGTCTCTCAAGAATGGGTTTTATAGTTTCTCATGCCAGACATTTCTAGGTATGAACACCCTGGAACTGATTTTTATATTATTTTTCAACTGTTTCCTAGCCAAAATAATGATGTAATTTTGAACCCCAAACTCTGGACCCATTAATACTTGTTTCTTTGGACTTAATGTAGGTTTATTATTCCTTCTGTCTTCTTCTCTTCTTTGTGTAAAATTTTTAAACAGTTCATCAACATTTACTTCTAATAGGTGTGTCTCATTCCATCAACACTTCCTTTCCAGGTTAGATACATACCAAATTATATACTGGTGTTTCCTGCTATATTGGCATCATAGGTTCCCAGGTGTCCTGACTACATAATTTGATAGAAAATTCTCATCTAATCTTAGAGTTAATTCAGGCTCAGCTATATTCATTACTAAGGATAAAGTGGAAAATTTAAAGTTTGTTTTGAAAGTTGGCAAATATTTTTATTGATCTAGTTCTTTTTTCTTTTAGGTTTTGTTCCAACTCTGGGTGGCACAGAGTTCAGAGTTCTTCAGACGGTTAGCTCTGTTACTTTCTACAACTAATGCACCTCCTGGACCCTTACTTACTTCCGCACTTTTGCCTCATCGTATTTTATCTGATGTGACTCAGGGTCTACCTCACGTTCATTCTGCCTGCTTGGAAGAGCTTAAGCGCAGCTATGAGTTCTATCGGTACTTTGAAACTCAGCACCAATCAGTACCCCAGCGCTTATCCAAAACTCAGCAGAAGTCAAGGGAACTGAATAATGTTCACACAGCTGTACGCAGCTTGCAGCTCCATCTGAAAGCATTACTGAATGAGTAAGTTTAGAAGCTATATAAGGAAATGTCCCCATGATTAGCAAGCTTCATTCTTATGCCATTGTGGTTGTTGGCTTGTGTCCTAGCTAGAAAGAAGAAGCAAAATTGAGACATGCAGCATGAAGGATGGTTTATAGCTACAAATATAGCAGAGAAACGTGATATGTAAGTACTATATTGGGGGAGTCATTTATAGTTTTAAAAGTCATTGTTATATTTAGTTGTAGAATAGTACATTGCTATTTTTCTAAATAAATTCAGCAGAATTTGAACATTTTCCTATAGCAGAGGGCAAGGTTTTTGGACCTGATTGGACTAAGATGGAAGGTACATATTTGTTGATCTTCTTTTTTGCATGGTGTTACTAGTACTCTGTCTTGGTAAAATGTAGGGTACAGTCATTTTGGTGAAATTTTTCTCTAACAGAGTCTTGTAGTATAGGACTGGATCAAATGGATGGCTGGGTTCATGTTGTGTTGGTAATCAGGAAGGTCATAGGAATTTAATGAATTTATATGATTGCAGGTAGTGTACTTGACTCTGGATACCAGGAAAAAAGTGGAAGGGAGAGGGTGACAATCAGTTTTCTAAGATAAAAATGGGTCGAAAGGGCTTGAAGTCTCAGTAAAATCAAACGTCTAGTTTACTGGAGTAAAGGAGGATGCGGCATACAGAGGGAGATAGGAAATTAAGGTCATAAAGACATTCTGAGAAGATAAGCTTTTCCCCATCAGTTCAAGGTCTGGCATTAGGTGTATAAGGCTGATGTCAAGGTTAGGGCACAAGGAAAAATTAAGAAACTATGAGGCAGAGATGTTCCAGTGGTCTATAGCTGCTATTCTAGGTTTTAAAAATTAAAAATTAGGTATTCTAAGAAAGCAGGTGGATGCCACAGGGAATTGGCAGGTCAGGCAGTCTCAACGTGAGCGGGTAGCAAAGGTTGGACTATCATCAGAGGAAAGCCAGATTCCAGTGGAAAGGTTTTTGAGGTAAAGCCAGAGTCTCTAAAGAATTAGTTTTTGGCAGTAGAACCAGAAATATGCTGGGCATAAAGGAATTCATTACAAGAAAAGATGGCTCTGGGAAGAAGGAGTATCGCACCGGGCAGACATGCAAATGAAAAGGAAGGGCTTCGCTCCTTTGTAAGAGATTGTGGGGTTGTTATGATGGGAAGTATATTTCCCGTTTTAAAATGAAGTATTCTGTGTTACCTTTCAAAATATTTTAACTGGAGAGTATACCAGTGATTATCGTATCTGATTTGTTCTTGTTCTGTAGCACTGCTACACACAACTTTCAAAGGTCTTATCTAAAAACTGTTGTTTCACTCCTTTGCTGTAGTCTCCCTTGCTTTTCCCACTCTCACTTTCCTACAGGAAGACATTGACCCTTTAACTGGTCTTCCCCTTCCAGAGTGCTCACTGCTAGATTGTTTCTGAGGCATATACTTGCTTTCTCACTTAACCAAAAATCTTAACTGGATTCAGAGTATAGCAGCTTAGACTGAAGTCTATCAAAAACATTCAGCAGAAAGGGTTTCCTGCCTTAGACTGACTGCCTTTTTGTCTTTATATCTCACTCCTTTTCCTTCAATCCAGCCAAAATGTATAATTTGCCTTTCCTTTTATTCCATCTGAAATGACTTTCCTCATTTTTGTACATGCTCAAATTTTATCCATTCCTCAAGACTACCTCCAAAGTACCTCTTCCTTGGCCATTCCCTATCTGTATGCATTGCTGGCAGCAACTCCCCCTCTTCTGAATTTGTACAACACTGTGTTTTTATCTCTGCAGTATTGCACGTTTGTGCCTGGGTTCAACCCAGCTTTACAGTTTACCAGCTGTGTGACTCTGAGCCAGTTACTCCAGCTCTCTGGACCTAATTTCTCATCTGTAAAGTAGAAATAAAATGCTAGTTGTAACTTTTCATGATACTGTATTATATTTATATGTGTATATAATTTCTGTGATTGTTACAAGTTTCTCAGAAGTAGAAGATGGGTTTCTACTACTTGGCTTTGACTTGTCCTTTCAGTTCATACCTAGTATGTATATAAACACTATTTGTTGAGTAAATATATACTACTGCTCATTAGCTTTTTTTAAAGTGTGGTAAAATACACATAACATAAAATTTACCACTTACCAATGCTGAAGCGGATGGCTCAGTAGCATTAAGTATATTCACGTTATTGTATGACTATCTCCACCTTCCATCTCCACAACTTTTTTCAGCATATAAACTTATTTTCTTAAATAAGCCTTGAAAATTATAAATTTTCCATTTTATATCTTAGAAATGGTGAAACTATTTTCTTTATTACTCAGGGTAATAATTCTTGAAGATGAACTTGAAAAGCTTGTTTGTACTAAGGAAACACAAGAACTAGTGTCAGAAACTTATCAAATCCTGGAACAGAAATTAAGGCTGATTCAGCCCCATGTTCAAGCAAGCAACAATTGCTGGGAAGAGGCCATCTCTCAAGTGGACAAACTGCTACGAAGAAACACAGATAGAAAAGGTACCTATGAGAGACTTCTTGTGCAGATTCTGCTCCAGTATGATTTAATTAGATGTATTTCTTGTCACTGTGATGAAACCGACTTGACAAAACTTATTCGTTTACGGAAAAGTGGAACTTATATGTTCAATTGACACTGAATGTGAAGTCTTGGTTCTTACTAATTTTTAAAAAAATCAATATGATTTGAAAGTTCACTGAATCATCTACCTAATTTTTAAAGACTTAAATGAGCCCTGGCTGGTGTAGCTCAGTGGATTGAGTGCAGGCCTGCAAACCAGAGAATCGTGGTTTGATCCCTTATCAGGGCACATGCCTGGGTTGCAGGCCAGTTCCCAGCAGAGGAAGAATGAGAGGCAACCATACTAATATTTCTCTCCCTCTCTCATTTCCTTCTCCTCTAAAGATAAATAAATAAAATCTTTAAAAAAAAAGCTTAAATGAAGGGATAGATGCTAATAGTATTATTCATTATTAGAACTTCTAGAATCTCTTTTCCAGTTAGGGTAATAATGAGTTTGACATTCATGGGCCAGATACTGAGTTTTGCTTTTAAGGTAAAATATTTACTTTTGTTATTCCAAAATCATACACAAACGCTGTGGCAGGTGGCACTGAGTGTTTCCAGGGGCCGAAGCTGCATTGAGTCCCACCCTTTAATAGTAACAGGAGTGCCTTGCGCTGCTAGGTAAAGAGAGAGTCTTGAAATTCTTCACAAACCTGCTTTCTATTGACCCAAATTTCATACTTTGATAAATTTCACTGGAACTGATTGACATATTAACCTTTAACTTGTGCTATAAGCCAGTGCCATGTTTATCCCTTAGACTTTTATTATGAGGCTAATCAGATTTATGTGCAGAAATTGTATTATTGCCAAAGGTAATTAATGTTTTATCATTCTGTTAGTCATTGTTTTGTTTATAGCTAAACCAGTAATATTTTGTGTAATGTCTTAAACATGCTGAATAAATCCTTAGATAGTAAATGTATTAACTTTTTTCAAAGGAAATGTTAGCATACTAATTACTGATATATTACCAGTACATTTCCTTTATATCTGAAATGTAAATAGTGAATGATTTTTCCCCAAAGGATACATTTGCCATGGATTTTTAATCGGTGCAATTATTTATGCATTTAAGCTTTTGAAATGACCTAAATCCATAGCTTTTGAGTACATTTTCTAATAATAGAAACACCATTGGTGTTAAAAGATGCATCCTGCTTCCCCTCCTTGGCATAGTCTGAGATGTTGAATCTTAGTCACTCATTTGAACATGATTGTTAAAACCATTCTCCAGATTATTGGGCCGGTGATAAGCTATTTCTTAATTATGCTCTGTATGTCACTTCTGTTCATACATGGTAGAGATATGAATTAAAATAAAAGTAATTCACCAAACTTTTCTCACTAAGATGCTCATAGTGGCCATTTTTTAAGTCAGGGACATGCTTATTGATTTTAGAGAGAGAAAGAAACATCAGTCAGTTGCCTCCTGTTAGTGCCCTGACTGGGGATTGACCCCCAACCTCCTGGTGTACAAGAGCGACGCTCTAGCCAACTGAGCTACCCGGCCAGGGTGAGCTGTGTCTTTTTTTTTTTTTAAGTTATTTCAAAAATTACAGGAATATTGCAAGAATAGTTCACAGTGCCCTTCATCCAGATTTCCTGGTCGTTTACATTGGCCTTATTTATGTATTTGTATATAAATTCCTTTGGTGATATTCTGAACCACTTGAGAGTAAGATACAGACATGAAACCTCATTACCTGTAAATACTTCCATTTATATATTTTTTAAACATGGACATTCTCCCACATGGCCACAGTAATCATCAAGATCAGTAAATTAACATGGATACAATATTGCTGTCTGATCCACCAACCCCATTCTAATTTCACTGATTGATCCAATAATATTTTTTAATGTCCAGATCCAGACCCACATGGCACTTAGTTTTTGAGATCTTTGTTCTCCTTTAACCTTTATTCTCTTTCATAATAATTATTTTGTGAAGGAAATACTTTGAGGTTATATAAATATCCTTTACTCGTCAAAATTGTCCCCACTATTAAGCATACACTTACTAAATGACTCAGTAGCATTATTCCTAGATAATTACCCTAGAGATATAAAAACTTAATGTTCACTCAAAAACCTATACACAAATGTTCATAGTGGCTTTATTCATAATCACTAAAAACTAAAAGAAGCTTATGCCCTTCCTCTGGTAAATAGATAAATTGTTATCTCATCTATATAATGGAATACTACTCAGCAGTAAAGATTTGAACTACTGATTGATCAATAAGGTAGAGGAATCTCTAATGCACTATGCTAATCAAAAGAAGCCAGGCTTAAATCACCACATACTACTCCATTTATATGACACTCTTAAAATAGTAAAATTTATTCGGAACAGAAAACATTAATGGTTACCAACAGGTGGATATGGAGGGAGGAATATGCTATAACGAAGCAGCATAAGTAAATGTTCTGAGGTGATGGAACTATTGTGTCTTTTGGTTGCTTATTAGATACTCATTTCTGTGTGGCCTATTTCTTTCTAAGACAAACCTGATGTGGCGTGTGAAAATGTGCGCTGTACTGTGGTCCCTCTGATGCAGCCTACTCTACACATTGCAGACAAAGATCCAGTCCCTGAGGAGCAGGTAAGGGTGAAAATTACTTTTTCCCCCCAAAGAAGGGTTTCCTGTTCAAAGTGTACCTACCTCTGTTATGTGACATGGTTAACTGTTGAATTAGTATTGAATTTTTGTTTCTAATGAGCTTCAAAATCACAATGTATTAAATTTCTATCAAATCATTAGTTCTTAGTGCCTTGAATTTTAATCCATTGAATCTACCAGTAAATTTTCTTGATATTCATACTAATTGTCCATTTCTTAGACACTTACAAGTGACTAAGCACATTAAAAATTAGTGCCTTGGCCAAGGTGCCTCCTGCGATGCCTGCAGTGTTTTTCTCCTGGTCCAAGTGGCCGCACCGGCACGTGTATGTGTGCAGAGTCCCGTGTACGTGTGCAGAGTCCTGTGTACGTGTGCAGAGTCCTGTGTACGTGTGCAGAGTCCCGTGTACGTGTGCAGAGTCCCATGCACGCAGCTCGTCTGTTTGACTGCATCTATGTCACACCTGGCTTTTGAAAACAATTCTTAATGCCTGCATGATATATTGGCAGAGATTTCTTTTTTCATCCTAAGGAAAAGAAGTGTTCTTTAATCCATTTTAATCCATTGAATCTACCAGGAAATTTTCTTGTTATTCATACCTAATCATCTACTTCTTAGACACTTAAAAGTGATTAAACATATAAAAAAAGAAGTTTTCCTTGGATCATATAGTCTATTAGTATTCTTAATTGCAAAGGGAGACCAAGCCTACTTAGTTTAACAAACAAGAAAATTTTTGAAAAACATTAGGTACCTGACAACATCTCAGGGGGCCAGGTAAACGGGCTTGAACCAGGCTCGGGTAAAAGGCTTAAATCTGAAAAGAGCTGTTCAAGTAGCAACATCAGTGCTAAGTCACTGGGTGCAGACATTGCCACTCACTCCCTCAGTGCTACCTTCAGAACCTCTGCCTCTGGAAACTTGATCTGCTCCCATTCTTACCGGAATGGATTCCTCAAGATGACTGCTTCTTTTATAACTAACTTCAGAATCAGGTACATCCAGTTAGAGCACCCCAAGTCATTTGCCTGAACTGCAACTACAAGGGAGGCTGGGTAAGCAGCGATCCTACCGTCTGCCTTAGTGATGTGGAGAGTCATAGATGAGATATTTCCCAATCCGAGGAATAGTGTTCAGACTTGTTGGGAAGTCAGAAAGCACCACAAATGTCCGCCACAAGACGACTAACATCCGGACCACCTCCCAGACCACCAGCCCTGCTAATGTTGATTGGTTTTCACAGAACTAATCACCATAATCTTAACTAGATCTGTAGAATGATATCAGAGTAGAAGAATGATTGAAATAATTTAAACTTTCTTATTTACAACCCTTTTTAGTATCACTTAAGTTTTTTCAAGTTTTCTATTTATCTGTGTTTGCTGTGTTTCCCAACTGTACTTAATGACCTGTGCCAAGAGTCTTCCTTTTATAATCTTGGACATTAAACCAATGAATACCACTAGAAAATTATCTGCTTGAAGTAAAGTACTTTTTCTTTTATTCATTTTCAGGAATTAGAAGCTTATGTAGATGATATCGATTTGGACAGTGATTTCAGAAAGGATGATTTTTATTATTTGTCTGAAGAAGATAAAGAGAGACAGAAGCGTGAACACGAAGAATCCAAGAGGGTTCTCCAAGAATTAAAATCTGTGCTGGGGTTCAAAGCATCCGAGGCAGAAAGGCAGAAGTGGAAGCAACTTCTGTTTAGTGATCATGGTAAGCATTGACTTCAGAGTAAAAGGTTATTTCAACGTAGGGGATTCTTTTTTCTTTAACTGTGAATCTTATTTTAGTTACAGAATTCTTAAGGCATGATGAAAAAATACAATAAAGATTAAATCAAAAAATAGAATAGAATCTGGAAAAAATAATTCTTATGGCTATCATTTAAGGGATCTATCAGTAAGTATAGTACGTCTAGACATAAAATCAACTTAATCAATTACAGAATAGGTATATAGTGAAATTGGGAATATGAAATCACACTTTTCATCAGTTTTGGGGGGGTTATTGTTTTATTTTGTTTTGTTTTTTTGACTAAATTTGTTTTGGAATGGGCAGTGAGTTGAATAAATTAGTGTTTTCAAATTTCATGAATTTGAGATTCTAAACTCTGATCTCTTTATGTCGATAATGTATATATATACCTCAGTAAAGCACAAAATAATTAAGTTCATTATTGAAACAAATAAATTAAGACCTAGGCCACTCAGCTACATCATTAAGGTCCCTCAGTGATTGGAGCACTGGAGTAGATGGGAGCAGAGGAGATGGTTCTGTGCTCACTGTCTCCATACCTGGATTTGGACAAAGTTGGATAACTGGTAACACCTGAGATTAGTCTTAAACGCGTTTGTGCTTCCCACCCTTCTTTAGTTGAACTTCTTGGGAGGGAGGGAGGGAATGAGGGGAAGCTTAATAACTGACAACATTAAACTAGCTAATTTCTAGATAAAGAATTAATTTTTATGGATTTCTAAGAAGGTAGAGTGGGGTTTCCATTTTAGAGAATGTAGACCAATTGCCTTCTTTTCCCTTTCTCTTTTTCAAACACCTCTGGAAAGTTCCTCAGGGTTCTCTTTTCTTCCCCTAGAAGCCCTACCATTATCATTCTCCCTTATCCAGATGTACATTTCTTGATTTTATCCATCCTCTTTCTTCACATTGGCCTCTTTTATAGTCCAGGTCTTCATTAGATTATGCTCATGTATTATAATAGCCTTTTTAGCTGACTTCCATTTTCAATACCATTTTTTTAAGCTATCCTTAGAGATACTTTCTAAGATTCTAAGGTAGCTTCAATCCAGATCTTTCTGAGACAGAATATTGATAATGGCTCTCTATCTTTAAAACAGTTGTGCCCCTTTTTATTGTTTTAACTTCTTTTCCTGGTCTTAAGCCTTTTATCATATGAGTTTTTGATATCCAATTTCACAGTATTTCTAACATAGATATCTTCCTCTAGTTATATTTATCTAGTTAGACTATGGTTCCACAAATTTGCTGTTTTTATTCATGAAGAACATTTATGCTGATCCCTTTACCAAAAATTTATCTTGCCCAAGTTGTCCTCCCCTCCAGTCTCCCCTGTGAATCCCCCTCCGACGGCTCCAGCCCTGCCTCCTGGCCGACCACCACAGGCCCTCCCACCAGAGGGGCTCTGCAGTGAAAGGAAAGCGAGTCCTGAGCAGCAAAGCATGGAGGAGATTAGGGTCTTCCTAGAAGCTGCAGTAAAAATATTTCTGTAACCTGCTTCTTTGTATATTGGGCCTGCATAAACCAGAGATTAAGAGTATTATGTTTTAGGCACCACTGTTTTCTCTTCATTTGATTGTTTGTGTCTCTGTAATTAGTCTCCTTAAATGAGGGTTTCATTCTCTACAGTATCCATTCAGCAATTTATTCAACAAGTAGTCCTTAATATACTTTATTGTTATAAATCCCTAGCACACAAATCAAGAGACAAAAATCCCTATACCGCTGGGGGTTTATGTTCTAGCACAATGTTAACACACTTGCCAGTTGACCCATTACACGAATTATGTCCGCCCCCCATTTAATCAGGAATAATCAGCAATAACCAGGAAAACCAATCAACTTCTAGTAAAAGTTGCATTTTTTAAACCAGCAGATTTATAGATTAAAACTGCACACAAAGATTGAAAATAGCATCTTCTATATAAACTTGTACCCTTTTTTATTGTTTAGTATTTTCTTCATATGTCTTTAAAATTATCCTATTGACAGTATGGACAAAGATAGAACACTGAGAAAAATGTGTTTCTTTTTCAGGTATGTGCTTTTGATAGTTTACATTTGAAAAGGCAATAATGCTGACTTAGTTTGTGAAAATAAAAGCTGCTGATATCATAAAATGCTTTTCCCGTGAAATCTTTCAGTACGTCTTCCAGAGTTGTGTTCATCTCTGCCTACAGGGGCAAAGTCCGAATGGAATTAGAGAGGGAGATGCTACACTGGAACCTGCCGTGACCAATTTTTTTTCTGTTGTCGCTGCGTCTCTAGTGGAGTTACTGCAGCTTAGGGATCTGTTTCTTGAAAATGGACACGTTTTACAAAATTGCTTTTAAATAAACGCCAGATCTTCAGGACGCACCTTTTGTTTTTCTTCTGCCATGCCTCATAATATATATGTTGTATTGTACTAACCCCTCACCCTGGGAGGAGAGCCTGCCTAGCAAGCAGCCCACTGCCTACTAACATCAAGAGGGGCTAAATAAAACTTCATTTCCCTTGAAAGGACAACTTCTGCCGAATGGATATATATTATACTTATGTATTACGCTTCATGCTGTAGTTGATCTTGAACGAAGATTTTATTGCATTATATATTTTTCTGTGACATTACGAAATGTGTAGAAGTTATGTCTTTACTTTCATAGGGTCTTTTTAAGTGATTGGCACGTAAGTTGAATTGTATGTTGCATTTGTTTTCATGCTGTTTTAACTTATAAACATATATGTGTAGAAAATATGGTTATTACCTAGATTATTTAGGCTTTTTATCTGACACATTTCAGTGAAAGCCATGCTGCTTCTTCGTTAATGCTGTGGTCCTCAAAATTGAGTATGGGTCAGAGCAAAGCAGAAGGCTTGTAAAACACAGCTGAAAGTCCCATGGAAATGGGACATTTTCCAATTCAATAGGTCTAGGGTGGGGTCTGAGAATTTGCATTTCTACCAGATTCCTAGGTGATGCTGACTGATGCTATTTGGTTTGAATACCACATTTTGAGAACCAGCCACTGCTTTAATTTTGAATAAGAGAATACATGAGGTGTTTTAATCTTCATCAAAACCCCATCTCATTTTATTTCTTAAACATTTTATCTCTTACAACATTCTCTGTATTTATAAATTTATGTTGATTTTACTAAAAACTTTAATTTAGCCTTTATTTATTCTTTATAAGAAAAAAACCTACTGGAAGTTTAAATTAAAGTTTAAATTATTATTGGGCCCTTAGTTATTATTTTTCTTTCTTTTTGCTTTTTTTCCCCTTTAAAGCTGTGTTGAAACCTTTGTCTCCTGTAGACCCTGTGGAACCCATAAGTAATTCAGAACCATCAATGGATTCAGATATGGGGGAAGTTGGTAAAAATGATAATGAAGAAGGAAATAGTAAACCCTCCATAACTGACAATGAAATATGTAGTAGGACTGAGTATTTAAGTGAAAACTCTCTAGACAGTAAAGATAAAGGCAATTCTACAAATGAAGGCTTCCTGCAAGGAGCTGAAGAAAGGGTATGTTACCAGTGGGAAAGTGAAGATGACTCCCAGCAGGCCGGTGTTGGTGACCTGGCCCGTCCCCACCCAGCCCCCAGGGACTCGTTCCAGCCCTCCATTAAGCAGAGGCTGGCGCGGCTGCAGCTGTCACCGGACTTTACCTTCACTGCTGGCCTCGCTGCCGAAGTGGCTGCTCGATCTCTCTCCTTTACCGCCATGCAGGAACAGACTTTTGGTGATGAGGAGGAAGAACACCTACCACAAGAAAGTAAAAGTGAGGTAGAAGAAAAGTGAGAACCAAGATTTACATGAAGGATTTTAAATTGTTCCTTTTATGAAAGTGTTTTTTAGCTTCACGACTAGATATTCCACTGGAAAGGGAAAATGAGTGTAAGTTTACTAATATTTAAAGCTAAGATGTGAATTTACAGGAGGAACCCTGGTTTGAACAACTGATCTGAAAATAGTAGTTACCTGTATGGCAGATGTTTTAGGAAAACGAGAGAAAGGTAAGGGCTCTTTTGAATAAACTGCTGTTTTATTCACAGCACAACTGATCGGCCTTGGAATTCTTGAAGTACTTCATAACAGTGAATTTACCCTCTCTTGCCAGAATTTGCTACTGTAAAATGACTGGGATAGTTCTGTTGCAAGAATATTAACATTTAGTGTGACTCCTTTCTACAGTTTTCTCGCAGTTAATAACTGCAGCTATTATGTTAATAACAAGTCGTTTGTATTTTATTTTTGTTTATACCAAGTCTTAAAGAGACAGGTTCTAAATAAAAGTTTTCATGCAATTGATGTGTACTGGGATTTGGAATCCTAAAAATCAATTCTAAAAGTACTTGGGTTATGACATGTTTCTTACATTTCTCTGTTCATGTGTATTCAGTAGTTAATTTTAAGATTTCCTAATGATATTTTAAACAAAAACAATGTACCATTTTAAGGATTACCCTTTTAAATTATTGTGTGTTTATCTTTTTCTTTTTTGTTGCAATTAGAAGAGCTTGTGTCAAAGTGGGATCCCTGTGGTCCATTCAAGGCCTCATCCCCAACTTTGCAGAAAGTTCTGTCAGTTTGTCTAGAGATAATGGGTATCATTAACATAAACCGGCCACCGGGCTGCTGAGTTCTTACTTGAGGCTCTCCCCTCTCCACCTGAGTGAGACTCTGGAAATATCCTGTCACCTTTCTGGAAAGCATCCTTGTCTCCTTAATACTTTACTCACAAACTACCTCTTAAAAGGAATTGCTTTCCAAATTGTCCAGTCTCCTCTGTTTTCTTTTGTGTCATGATTTCATTTTTCAAAGACTGATATTTTCAGGAGGATATTGTTTTTTGAAACCCATACCTCCCATGTACTGACATAGTTTATAGACATTATTTGGGAGAAATGTAGGGATAACTCAATTTATGAGTTATCCTAGAAAGAAAATGACGTGATCTGGATTGCTTTGGAATTAAACACATCCGAACTCCTGCAGTGTAGCACTTCGACTGAGTAAATTTTCATGAAGCAGAGGGTTTTCCTTTCAGTAATCTAAGGAAATTTACTTTTTATGCTGAAGAAAAACTTGTTTCTGCTTTATATGAACAGTGGAGATCCTTTGTACTATTAAGTGATTCTGCCAGTTGCCAAAAATTCTGTGAGTTTTCCATAACTAAGCTCTTAGGAACAATTCCAAAGAGTGGGTCTAGTTTACAACTTAGGATAAAACCATTTAGAGTTTACTTTCTTTTTAAAATTATTTACTTTGTCAGCTCTTTTTTTCCTTGGATTTAGAAGTAATTACCAAGAGAAAACTTGGTAATCTTTCTTTTAATCTATAACCTTACACAGGAAGAATTTTAATAATTTTAAATTTTGTTATATTTTATTTTATATTACACCATTTTGGGAAAAATAGATTCATAATATTTTATCAATTTTATTCAGTGATCTCTAAAGTGATAGTTTTTAATTTTGAAAGGTTTATTTTAACCAAGAATTTCTCATCTTCCAGTCTGATCTCTTTTATTCACTAGGTGTTACTTAGTTCAGTGAAAATTCTAGTTGCTGAAATCATTATATAATGATCTTAGAACTTTAATTGAATGCTTTTTGGTCTTTGTAGTTTTCAAATTTTCTTATCTTTTAAAATATTTCCACCATAAAATAGTATCTTTCCTGTGAAAATTCCTAATTTTCTTTCATAGTAGTCTGTAATCAGTGTTCTTTTTTTCACGGGAGGGGCTGTATTCAAATTAATTGGAGGTCTTATTTTGAAAATGCAGATGTGGGGCCATCCTCCCAGTAACTCTTAGTCAGTCATTTTGGAGTAAGGCCTTGGCGATGCGATGTCCAGTGAAACCTAAGAACCTCTGTGTTGGACTTGACACTTCTTGCCATGAATACCTTAAGAAATAAAATGGGCCAATGTAATATAAGTGGATATTCCTATTTGTTACTTTTCTAAGAATATTTCACTTTATCTTATCAGGCTTTTGACTAATTTTAATGGCTGCCATCCCACATTCATAAGAAACCTTCTAAGGAAAATACTTTGTGGGGAAAATTTGTAACTCTGCTTTCCACATTTTACAGTGGTATTTTGACAGAATAATTCTTGTTAGGAGTAATATATCCTGACAGCTTTTAATATGAACTTTTCCATTGTTTTAAACCTAGTACTTAATGTAAGAATGCATGAAAAAAGCTATTTAGATCTGTCCTGAAGACAGAATTTTTTGTCTGTAGTTAGGAAAGTCGTGGCAATAAATGATCTGGTAACAGTTATATCTTAAATATCTTTTTTCAGCTTTCATATCTGGCCTGTCTAGTGCGAGGCTCTTGCTGGTCTTTGATTTGTGGTCCTCTGCTTATTTTCACAAGTTGTCTCTATTATCTGACTTAAGTCCTCGTTAAATCTAATTGTACTTACGGCATCTGAATATATTTCATTAGGAAATGATACATTGACTCTTGATTTGTGAAGTTACCAGAGACAAGCAAATTGATAGGAATACATTTAAGGCAACTCAGTCAGGAAATGTAAGAATACTGGTTTAAGGGTTTAATGTAGAAGGATGCGCCTAAGTTGAAATCACAGATCCTTCATTTAAAGCTATGGGTGCAGCTGACTTAGTAACATCATAAGAAATTGTTCCAGCAAAACCCAAATCCTCCAGATTACTTAATGATGTTTGTGATTTCTGACTTCTCAGAAATAGTTGAAAATAAAACCTTTGAGACTAAAAAACAAGATCTGGTTATAAATATGTTAGTAAAAATAGGTCAAAAATTTAAAACTCAATTTTCTTAAAAAGTAGTAATATTCAGATTCACATAATAAAAGTGTTACAGCTTTTATTGTTAAAGCATAAAAAGAGTCAGGTTCTGATACATTTCACAGATTCAGAAATCAATAGTGTTAGAAGGGATCCTGGAAGACATATTTCCCTCTGGTGACTTACACACCAACAGTAATGTAAAATATGAAATATTTTGATAAATTATTAGAAATCACGTGGGAAGAAAAGTTCGATTGCCTTGGTTTAGTCATAGTGTACAGTTTCTATATCTAAACAAAATAAGGAAACAAGAACTAAATACCATAAGACTTGGGATAGCTCAGCCAACTCATTATTTGAACTAAAGTAGGTGTCACACCATGAACAACAACCAGACAAAGCGTAAAGGTTGGTTTGTACTCCCAGTTATATTTGTAAGGATATACCTGTGCAAGTCACTTTATTTTAGAAAATGAAGTGACAAATATTTTAGAGTAGAAACTAGGGGGAAATGCCCTGAGTATAGTAACAGTTGATTTATCTGTAATCATTGATGGATGACTAACTTGTATAAGTTAATTTTTCAGGTAACTAAGACAAATCCATTTTATCATTAAATATTTTTACAAGTCTAGCAGGAAATTTTCTAAAATGTACTTTCTACTTCACTTTTTCTAGAGTATTTAGGATATAATTTTAACTTTTTTGTTGTTGTCTTTAATAATAGCAATTCCTATCATGGGTTGATAATCAGAAATTCACCCTTCGTGGCTACTGACATCTCTAATGCCCCTTTACTACATGATTCTGCCTTGCTATGCTTTCTGAGTTATGTCTGTTTTTCACAGTTTCTCTCTTTCCTTATAATCAGCTGTCCCTTTTTGCTCTGTCTTGTGTGCCTGCCTCCTGCACTAGGCCCCTAATTTGCTGCTTCTAATCCGCTGTGGACTGAGAAACCAGATTGCCAAGCTTGCTAGAATTGTGTCTAAAATAAGAGTAAGTAGACTGAAAGAAGGCTGAGGGGCTGTTCTGTCCATAAAGTGCATGGACTTGGTGGAACTTGTCTGGCTGTTTAGCGTTCGTTTGTTTGCCTCTTAGTTCTTTACTAAGAACTTGCTAAAGAACATTTGGTTATATATGTGATTGCCATATATTTGAAGTATTAATTCAGTTTCTACGTATTGATGTTTCCAGGACTCTCCATTAATGAATTCAGCTATAGAATAAAATTTGACTGTCATCTTTCTGTGAATCACTGTGTATAGCTTAGGGAAATGTTAAACATTTTGCTCTTAATTCTTCCTAGTATAGTATACAGTCTTAAAACTTACAGCACTGTAGATGTGTTTTCAACTCTGTTCACCAAGATTTATATTCCAGAACTATTGGTTTGAGACTAAACATGCCTGGCTAATTTAGTAAGAACTGGGTAATTGAATTTTGGGAGAATGAATCATTCTACATATCCCAGTTTTCTATGGAGCTTAAAGTAAGCATTGAAATTTTTCAGAATAAGTTTTAAAGGAAATCTTTTAAAAACTTAATATACATTGCTGTCTTCTTAAATGATATATGAAATGTATTTTAATCTTTTTTATGTCAAAATGGTCATTAATAATAATTACTTATAATGTGATAGACTAGGCATTGAGAGCTATATATCCTTTACTAAATGACTCCATTCTGCTGTGCTTTTTTCATTTACATGCCTTTGCTTTTTAATAGTTCTGATTCCTCCAGTTTATGTCACTGCTTGCTTAAGTGTGCCTGTAGCAATACAATAGCCTTTCTCCGTCCTCACAACGTTCCTCCTAGTCTGCTTTGGTCTTGAAAACAAGGTGACTGAGACTGCTAGAATAATGTATAAAGTAAGAGTAAATTGACTCAGTAAGGACAAAAACAAAAAACGGGATTATACTTAAGCACATGGATTTTGTAACATCTATTACTTTTCATTGCTATCTTTAAAATTAGTACACATTTCACTGCTATCTTAAAAATAAATGAATTAACTAGATAAGTTACCTGCTCTCAAAATAGAAGAGCTTTCATTGTACAAAAGGAACCATTTTGTTTTTATATGTTACCATCTTTATATTTCTATCCTCAAATTTTTTTGGTTCCTATAAAACCAAAAAAATTAGTCCGCTCAAATTAGCATTTTCTACGGTACTTCCTCTTAAATTGGATATCACATGCTGCTAAGAATTGTTTTGGCAAGGCAGTTTTTTATTGTTTTGGTTTCATTTTTAGAGAAGTATGTCTTCATTTCCAAAACATGAAGTGGATTGAGCCCTGGAAAATAAGAAAACAGTATCTTAATTTTCATTCAGTTAATTGTAAGGTAAAATCTTGCCAAAAGTTATCAGTGTTAGATATAATGATATGGACAGATATTTGGATTACCAAATTCCTGTTGTCATTCTATATTTTGCATGTTTAAATTATCATTTAATATGTTAATTAATCGAGCATGATCATTTTTCTCTCAAATGAAAAAATAAACATGAAATTTGCATGTTGCAATGTTTGTAAGTAAAATTCAAATATGTCTAGAAGGGGATATTCTAGCATTTAACAACTTAGTTTTACCAACAGGCCAACTGTGTTTTAGTAATCATGTTAACATCAGTACTTATTTTATGGGCATGCCTCATAGTCAGCTTTCCATTATTCATGTTACTGGACAGGAATTATGGTTCAATGTTCATTTTAAAAAATAGACAATCCAAAACAGTTCTTGAGCTGAGACTGCTATTACAGAAGTGAGAGCCACAATGCCAAACTCAGGTTGCTGGTATGAGGAGAAAAGTTCTCTGTGAGTACAGTTGTGGGATAATAGTGATTAAACTCATTGTAATTGCAGTAAACCAAACAAAGATGAATCCAGGATTTGCATATACAGAAAATATGGATAAGGAGTTAATTTTATGGATATCCTAAAATGTGTGATAAATTTCCATGCATATTGTATTTTAATGCTGTATTTAATGCTATATTTTAATATATTTTAACTGTCAGCAATTACATTAGGGTTTTTTTTTTATTCCCATTTACTGAATTTCATTTGGCACACATCAAGCATCTTACTGCAATAGGACAGTATTTAAGTTGTGTGTACTCCTGGCTACACTTTAAAAGCAGGTATAGTCTATGAAATGTCATTGTAGAAATAGATATTTTCTCTCATATTTGTATCCAAACAGTTTCTCAAAATAAGGGATAATATTACTATTTTGGACTAGAGATTTTTCACTTTTGTAGGATTTCCTAAAGGTTGGCTACTTAAAATTATTTTATCGTTGAACATTTTTTTTCTAAAACTAAAACATGTCTTCTGTAGGCTATTCTTTTATAATATCCTAAGAAATTACACACTCCCTTTCCCTCCCAAGTAAGTTCTTAAATTAACTCCATTTCTAAATCAAAGTATTTTTTGCACTTTATTACACCAGCCTGTAGTACCTTCTGTTCATACTATGACATAAATAATGCTTACTCAGGCACAGTACTAGCATCTGGCAACATAAAGAAAGCTCCAGAAATGTTACACCTATTCCTTAAAGATTGCCGTATGGTCCTCGTACAGCCCTGGAGGTCCATATAAGTGAAAAGCCCAGAAGTCTGCCTGAGCTGAAAGCACTCCCCAGGAGTTTGGTTTTGTTTGGGTTTGTTCTAGGTATGGTCCCAGGGATCCCAGATCAAACCAGGCCCCTGGGCCTATCCTAGAACCAACCTAAACTCGCGCATCATTCCTGGACCGTCAAGAGTGTGAAGACTGAAGATAACCTGAGGCTTACTAGACATCCAACCTTCACCAAGACTCACTTTTGTGTGTGTGTGCGCGCCTACATTTTAACAAGAATTGTTTGGTTAATCTTCTAAAATTAAAGAGATAACAATGGGTAACAAGATAAAGCCTTGCCAGACATTGACATAGTAACTTATCATAACAGAAGTGCGATAGGTAACATGGTTATTATTAATTGCCAAGGAAGAGACCTATGCTTGTAACTTTTATTATTGGATCTTTATTTTTAGGTTAAAGAACTTAGCCACCAAAAAAAATTCTCCCCCAAATTAATGATTTCTGGTTTTGTTTTTCTTTAAGACTTTCTACTCAACAATATTATACCACTCTCATTTAAGTAATTGTTCCTAGTTTCTGAAACACATTTGGTCTTTGCCTTCTGGCTCCAATGCCAAGTAATTATAAACTCTTGTTTTTGGAGACTCACTTTCTTTTACTCTGTTATTGAATCTACCACATTGCTTTGAGCTCACTTTTTGAGGTTCAGATCTGGGGAGAACATTAGCATCGTTTGCTGACACACCATCCCTTGCTGGCCTCATTGTAGACTTACATTTTAGAATCTGCTGTGGTTGATGGAAACAAGCTGGAATGATAGAGTGGAAATGAGCTAATACCTCACATTTTACAAAAGGATTTTGTAAAATAAGATTTTTAGTAAGTTTCTTGATTTTCATTCCCAGCTGTTTGCTCTGGATTTTTAAAATATTCTGATCTTGTTGATTCATTGCATGGTCCTTTGTCAAAACTGTGACATTCATCTAGCCACATGCAAATTTTTGTTTGATTTGGAGGACCGGATTGCTGAACAGGATTGAGAAGGCCCCAAATCTGAAGGTATTATGATGCACATTGCCAGTGTATACTTTCGGTGATACTGGCGTTTCAGTAGATTTAGACCCTGTTTGAAATAATTGCAGACTAATCAGGGAAAGAGCCAAAAACTGTGCTATTCCTCCAAGCCTTGTTACACCGGGAAAATTGGGTCAGTGGGTTATCCTTTAAAATTGGACTGAGCTCATTTTGAACAACTCACCCCTGCAATTAGTTCTGTACTATATTCATTACAGAGATGCTTCATTCCATGAATTCTATTATTTTTACCCATTAAATCTTATGTATGTTCACTCTTCTCTCTCAGTGTTTTCTTGTTTGCATAAATCAAAACACTATAAGTGTTACTATGTGTATGTTTTTGATAAAACAGTAGACTGGATCTAATCATCTTTGGATTTTGATTCCCTTTAAAGCCAAGTGACTTAAATGGCTTTATTGTGTTGTAAATTCACTCTTAATTTATGCTTCAATACTTCTCGTTCATTTTTCTCTAACAAACTACATAGAATTGCGTAGATCGAGCCTTATATACTGATTCTTGCAGAATTTATGACATTTTGTATTCACCCAAATGTGAAAATGTTCTCGTACCAGTTATCTTGTATCAGTGCGCTAATCTGTGTGCACGGTTCACTGTGTTTCCCGCCATGGCCAGAAATGCCCAAACCCACCTTGTGTTTCTGTGGCTGAGTGTCCTCAGTGTGTGGGGGGCGGGGGGAGCTTTGCACTCTCCTTTAACATTGTTAAATGCGAACTTGTAACAGGAACTTGGGAAGTGTTTTACAGAGTTCAGGCTTGTTTACACAGTAAGTTTCTAAGTCTGCCTTCAATTCAGATACTTTTGGAGTCCAAAGCCGTATGTTTTAAATATCATTTGAAAATATTCTTTCAGAGATATTTTAATTTTTACTTTTGACTACTTATGTTTTGTATAGAACTACATCACTTACCCTACCTGACAACTTGAGATTATCACTTTTTTTCACACAGCACTTTCTTTGATAGCTTTGTGTGTTTTATTATATTGAATTTTTGTCTACTGTTGTAAAGGATTTTTTAAGAATACAATATGTCTGTAATATTGTTATTCCCCCTGAGCTTAAGAAGTCTCTAATAAAATCTGTACTTCTTTGTGTCCTTTTTCGTGTACCTTTTTTTATTCTGGTGTTTGCAACATGGATTAGCCAAAGATAGAATTCTTTTTTTCTTTTTTTCCCTATTTTTCTATTGCTGTGTTTTTCAGAATTTGTTAATATACCCACAAAAGACAGCAGTTGCCCCAGAAAGCCTTGGATTCATTAGTTAAGCTTTATTTGGTCATTTATATGCTTCCTATGATAACATATCATCGTGAAAATAGATTAAATTTAAAAGTTCCATTTTCACCATTCAGAGTGACTGTCAGCCATTGGATACAATCTCATCATGTTACATTTGTTGACATACAACACCCTCCTCCCCTGCCCCCCCCCCCCAGGGAAAAGGCAAACGGAATTAAGAAGGAAGTTAGCATCCAGTGGATCATCCTTTGTGCTATGTAATTGAATGAGTTACTGGTTTGCATCTTCCTGAGCGCAGCTTGGGAACATCTGCTGGTTAAGAAAGTGGCCTTCCTTGAACTGAACTCAAATAAATAAGCTACCTCTTTCCAGAAAAGATTTGAGGCAAGGAATAAATACTGATAAAGGCAAAAGTAAATCCCTGACAATTGGCCCTTATCTGGGCTTTACCAATTAAAAGTGTGAGACAAGGAACAATGTTCCGTCATCCTACCGGATTCTGAAGTCACTGGGCAGGAAATACCCCATATGGTAATCACTCCTTGTCTTCACCATTTGCTTTTGAAGGTCTTTAGCAGATGTGCTATAGCCATTGAAAATAAAGTTGGCAAATAGTAATTTTCCCTGGATGTACATCTGTAAAATTTAAAGAACATTTTTAGAATCAGCATGTGAAAATTAGTGCTGTTTATTTGAAGGGAGATCTTGTATCCCTTTGAGAAAATGTTTATATGCAAAATAATGCTAGGCATCAAACATGTTCCTTATGATTTATGAATTGGACTCAACCTCCACCACTGAGTTTTCAGATTCTCTATTTCTTAAAGAAAAACTCCTCTGTGTAAAGCCAAGTTTTTCAGTTCTGGATGCAAGAGACCCTGTTTTTAGGCACAGGTGTGTAGCTTGAAAAATATTCAACTTTCAGAGATTAGAAAGGATAAGAGGTAGCGGGAGAAGGAGATAGTAGTTTTTTTAAAAAAGTATAGCTGGTTCCAGCACAGAACTTGACCTGCTAAGAACTAAAGTAACCTTGTGTCATAAAGCAATCTTATATGAGTAAAGGGTATGAGAATTCAAAAGGAACATGGTTACCTGTTATTCCTTTCCCCCTAAATAATATGCATAATCTCTTCATCATGAAGAAATGTCGTATTACAAGGTTTCCTCTGTGAGAACGGAATTTTCTTGTTTGTGTTCATTTCAGCAACACAAAACCTATCTCCTGTTTCTTAGCTAGGAAAACCCCACAGCTGGCTGAAGTGAGTTCTGTGTGGTTCCTTGCTAGAGAATGCTTTGTTCTTTAGCAGTCACGACTGTTAGTCATGAAGACGCTTATCTTGCCTGAATTTAGCAGATTAAGCTATGATACATGGGTAATGAGAGCCAATGTCAAGGTTACTTTACACAGTATGTGATATACGTGAATATTTTATAAGATCTGAAGAATATTACTGGTAATCTCTTAAACGGTGACATAAGAGTGACTTAGGCAATTTCATTTTTCAACACAACAAACATGAAATATTTGTATGATAGGAAAAGAAGCATAGTTTGTAAATTGAAAATGTGCCCAGGTTCACTGTTCTATGAGCACGGGTTTCATTGTTTCATTTGGGGATTATGTTCATACATAAGAAGAAAGCTTTTCAGTGTGTGTGTGTTCCAGCCGTCACCTCTTAAGACTGAATCTGGGCCCCAGAGAGAAGGAGGCAAGGCTGCAATGTTTTGTTCTTGAAGAAATAAGTTGGTCAAATACAGAAGAACGTTAGACTGGGAAAACCTTGTTTGTATTTCCAAAGGCCAAGGTATGACCAGACCCAATACCACAATTAAATTCTTACCGAAACCTCATGGAGTTTGAATTTCAATTGAACTTCAAAACCTGAAAATTTCTATTCTAGAGGTTCTCTGCACTTTATCAACTAAGAGTAAAATGTTATTTTCCCCATGGTCCCTATGTTTTGAAGTATCTGGCTATCACATAATGTACATTCATTAAAATTCTATAAGTTGCCCTGGCTGGTGTGCCTCACTGAATTGAGTGCCAGCCTTTGAACCAAAAGGCCACTGGTTTGATTCCCAGTCAGAGCACGTGCCTGGTTACAGGCATGGTCCCCAGTAGGGGCACGCACACAAGAGGCAATCACACATTAATGTTTCTCTCCCTCTCTCATACCCTTCCCCTAGGTCTAAAAATAAATCTTTTTTTTAAAAAATTCTGTAAGTTATGCCCTTTAAAAAAAAAACAAAACTAAGAAAAGTGATCCTGGCCATTTGGCTTGAGTGTGCATGCCAGGCTGTTCTTGGTGCTGACAAGGAGCTGTACGCATGACAGCTTCTGCCTTCACTGAACGCTAGAGGGGAGAACACAACAACCTCCTGTGTTTGGGTGGGTCAGGAGGCGGTAAATGCAACACAGAAAGTAAAGGCAAGTGAAAGGGATATGGAGGATGTAGAGTACTTTTCTATACGCATTAGGCAGTTGGGTATGAAGGCAGTGAGGGAGCCAGCACCCCACGTGGAAGAATAGTGCAGAAGCAGAGAGCGAGCGTGGCTGAAGCCCCATGGGAAGGGCTGGCCGGTGGAGGAGGGCCTCGTAATGAATTTGTAATGAAGATGGCTTTTACCTGGAGGTAGGGAGCCACTGCAGGGTTTTAAGCAATGCAGTGAAATGAGTTAGATTTTTAAAGTGTTATAAAGTTTAAAAAGGTTAAACTTTGACTTCAAATTAGGTGTTCTTTTTCTATGCACTTTGTCAGTTTTACTTTCCTGTGTTAAGTCACCACATACAAGGACCAGGTTCACACACACGTGAACCCTGTGAATCACTTCAAGCAGCGTAATAATCCCCTCGGTCTGCACTCGTTTAGGCCTAGGATTCCTCTACCACCACGATTAGATGGGCACGTAGTTCCTCTGTGCATTGTCTGCTCATCCACACATTGAAACGTCATTTCATTTCTTTACACGGCCTTCCCCATGTCACTGTCCTCTGTGTGTATAGTCCTTATTACTCATGCAGTTGGTGTGCAGATTTTTGGCAAAAGCACTTTGTAAACTGGAAAGATGCTCTTTTTTTTCCCCCTAGTTGTGGGATCCAATCCATCCAACTTTATCTGGTTGGCTGTGGTGAGAGGTTCAATATGTAAACCACACCAGTTATACCATTGTTCCAGGAATTAAATTGAGTGCAGTTGAAAGACTTTTTCCAAACAAACCAAACAAACAGATGCTGATTTGCTCTCTCAAATGAAATATATTAGCCCTGTGGTGACCAAATATTGACCTAATGACTACATAAAAGCAAAAAAATAAAAAAAGAGGTTTTGACTTCTTAAGAATACTTCTTAAGGACTCCTCTAAAGTACTTACCACTTAACCTTAAGAAATGCCCAGGACACTTTCAGACAAAAACTCAGTGGAGACTAGAAAGGGGATATGTGTTAGTAGGTTAGGTAAAGGTCTCTACTCTCTTCTCAGGAATCCTAAAGTCTCTTTTACAGAAAAACAAAGAAGACAATTTTCTACCCTGCCTAGCTGTCTAACGCTGCAGATAGAAACTCCTGCCCCCATTTTGGACTGCAAGTCAGGTAGGTAACCTAGGTTCAAATCTCAACTCCTCCTTTTAGTCATGTGATCTTCCCGAAGCCTCGGGAAGTGTGTAATATGTGAGGATATTTTCACACATTATACATTTCCTTGTATAATATGTGCAAGGAAAACTGCCACATGCCCTCAGAGGATTGTTGCCAGGATTTAGGGAATTAGTGATATGAAAAGGTATGATTCTCAGAAGATACTCGTTTTCTTCTGGGTCTGCAGTACTTATCTTTTTGTTGGGAAATTCCTCCCTTGTGGAAAAGCCTGGGGCTTTGTCAAAGGCTGGGTGGATAAATGAAGGGACAAAGCAAAGGCAAAACAGGGTTTGACATTTCTGCTGGAAAGACACACGTTTATCCACTCAGTCCGAACAATACAGGGTGGGGCAAAAAGGAGGTTTACCTCGGTGAGTGCATGATTCTCCTCGTATTATTATTACTCATTAATTACTGGTGTTTGTTTCCATACGAACAAGTGTTAACCTCCTTTTGTCCCACCCTGCATTTATTGACAGCCTACTGTTTTCCCAGGCCCTGCGATGCAGAAGTGAACAAAACGACAAAGTCCCTGCCCTAGTGAGGGGATCAGATAGTAAGGCAGTGGATGGATAAGGTGTCACATGTGGTGAGTGCGATGAACCCAATACAGCAGGGTAAGCAATGGAGTGTGAAAAGGGAAGTTTTTGTTCTGTCTGAAACACTGAGGGGTGACCTGTGTCTAGTGAGACAATAAACTGTGCAACTAACTACCTGGAGAAGCACCAGCAAAGTGAGCACCATGGGTAAAGGCTCTGAGAAGGAACAGCAAGGAGGCCAGAGCGGTGGGAGCCCGTGGGCAACAGTCGCAAAGGAGCCGGAGGCCAGATTACAGAGGTCTTGTGGTCCATAGAAAGAATCCGGGATTTTATTTCAAGTGTGATGAGCCCCCACTAGAGGGTTCTGAGCAGGGCAGAGCTGTAACCTGAGTTGGGTTTTATAGAGATTACTGTGGGCAGAAGCAGAGAGATCAGTGAAGGGAGGGTGATGCCTGGCGGGAATAAAATGGGCAAATAATCAGAATCTGGATATATTAAGAAGGTAAAGGCTTTAGGATTGGCAGATAGATTGTCAATCAGGTGTGAAAAAAGAGAAGTCAAGATTTATTCCTATATTTTTAGTCTGAAAAAGTGGGTGAGGGCTACTTCCTGAAATGAAAAAGATATGGATGGGGAGGAGCAGGTTTTAGAAGAAAATAAGTTCAGTCAAATGCCTATTTACTAGACATCTGAGCGAGAGATTGGGCTGGAGATAAGAGGGGCCTGGAGCTCAGGGCGAGCACTGCACACAGGGACACTACTGTGGGAGTCACTGGCGTATTGGGGGTTTTAAGGCCACAGACTGGGTGACAGCATCTAGAGCAAATGTAGGTGAACAAGAAAGCAGATCTGAGATGAGCTACTCTCTCTTCCTAGAGGCCAAGTACCATGGCCTGCTCTTAATCCCTAGGTTGCCTATAAAAATCACTCCAGGGTCTATTAAAAACCTAGATACTTAGGGTCCGCCCAGATCTACTGAATAAGAATCTCCGGGGGGTGAGGCTTATAGTGTTTAAAGCTCTATAGGTGGACAATCAGGTTTAAGGACTATTGGCTTAGGAAAAGGTAAGGTAAAGAGGGAGGGAAAGGCTATGGCTCAGGTAGTGCCAAACACAACAGACCAGGGGCTCTGTTACCTTTTCTACAAACACACACACACACACACACACACACACACACACACACACTCATCCCCACCCACCACTGTTACTAAAGTCTTAAACACTGAGTTCCATACCCACGTGTGGGTGTAACTCCCATTCCTCAAAATATTAATGATAACTTGTATAATATTTTTTGGTTTATCAATATTTTTTGTATCCATATTCTCCCTGAATATACATTTTCATTTGAATACACATTTACAGTAGAAAATTTGAATACACATTCTCACATCAGCCTCGTGAGCATCAAACAGGTGAAGAATTAAATCCAGCCATTAAATCCAGGTCCTGTTGATATA